ATCTTCAAGAGATACTAAGAGGATTGTGGCTTCTGGAAAAGTTTGTGACACGAATGTTGAATTCCTTGTAGACTCGGGTGCAGTTAGTAGTATATTGAGTTTGAAGATCTACAGAGAGATCCCTGAAGACATAAGACCCGAGCTTGAGCCACAAAAGAGGATCATTTTGCAAGCTGGTGGAGAACCTTTAGCTGTTGCAGGTATTATGCACGTCGACATACACATAGATGATCATAAACAAAATTTAGAAGTAGTCGTGGCTGACATTGAGTTTGATGGAATTCTGGGTAGCGACTATTTAGCAGCTTCAAGGGCAATATTGGACTATGGTAAATGTTCAATGACTTTTGGACCAGAGAGTCCTAGTGCTGCTCAGAAAGGAGTCGGAGCTACCAAACCGTCAAACAACCTGCAGAGTGACACCAAGAACAAGCGGATTCTTGGAAAAAGAGCAGTCAATCCTCCAGGGAAAGTGACTCCTCCACTGATAGCATCCAAAAAGAGGACCCTGGATTTACCAGATGGCCACCCGTTTCAGGAGCAGAGACATGGCAGGGACAGGAAATTGAAGAAAGTCCCTGGACACCGAGGCAACGACAAAAGTACTTTGAGTCATGAAGGCATGCCAAGTACTTATCCGGGGAAGGTGTCTTTGGCTAGAGTATATCGAGGAAGATATCAGAGGCCTCGGCAGAGGAGCAATATAGATGATAACTGGAGGAAGGGTTCCTTGAACCAAACAGCAACTTTACAGTAGAGTTAGTTAGATATTTTATAGCTAACTTGTTTGTTAGAGACTTCTGGTGTTGCATCATCACTTAGTGAAAGTTGTAGTTACTTTTGTGAATACTGTAAATAGTAGTTAGCTTTAGATGTAGATATTTATGTGTAGGATTGTAGTAGCAACTAGTTGAACACCATTGTACAGTCGTATTTTGTTAAGGTAGCTAAGTTAGCAAAATTTTGTTATTTTTTTTTGTACTTTAAGCTTGGTGTTGTAAACACCAAAATCATTGGATTGGAGGAGTGTAACAAAATTTTGAATTTTTTGATTTTTGATTTGGTGCTGTCAACTCGTTTTTATACATTTATTACACTTGATTTGTGGTTTACATGTGAGATCATTAGGATGGTAACGTGTAGCAATGTTTGCAGCACTTAGGTTGTACTTACAGAGGTGAAATAGTTCGCATATTTTATTTAATCAAGATTTTGTTGATCGGGCAGTCTTATCTGGCAGTCTAATTTGTAGTTGATCGGTAGTCTAACATGGCAGCTTTATTATTTTGCTTCCTGCTTTTGATTCTATCAAACCGAAGTAAAACTAGAGTAAGTAGCGATCAATTACTGTTATATTTCTTGAGTCAATATTAAAATCTTGTTGTATGCGTAATATTAAAGCAGGATATGGCGTCAATAACTTGTTATTCAACTTTGAAATCTTGTTCGAAAAGTGATGACGTCACCAGGCCTATATAAGTATTTCGCCGATGTAAACTCGGCAGATTACAGCTAGCTTTCGTTCGGGACAGAGCTCCGTCCAATTTCATATTTTTATGTGAAGTTGGACTTAGTCGTTTTTCAAGGAAATATTTTTGGACTTTGACAACTTTCAGTAGAAAGTTGTTGGGACTTTGAATATTTCTCGAGGCAGATAGGAGATACATAGCTGCACTTCAGTTCAGTGGATGATAACTTGGACATCTACTTGTGATGAAGGATACCTGAGAGGGAAGACTGCTACACCGTGATTCTGTAGATGATAACTTGGCCATCTACCCGTGTATTTGTGTAGAGGATACCTTAAGAGGGAATATTCAGTACCGTGTTTGGAGGCAGCATCAAGCCTATACTAGATTACTGAGCTCTGTCAGTTCAATTTCATGAACACATGAAATTGGACTTTGCGTATTTTTGAGATAGAAATTATTGAACTTAGTCAATATTTGGAGAAACATTATTTTGGACTTTGTTTTTTTTGGAGGATAAATATTGAACTTAGAATATTTCAATATCAGTATAACTCAACATTAACTGAACTTAGTTATTTTCAAGGGCAAATATTTTGACTTGTAATATTTTTGCCTATGCTGTTGTTCGCATGCTATATTTGTAGGTAGACTGATTACTTAATTGTGAAGGAAGTTTGTGTACTTAGCAGTTGATGCCATATAAGACGTTCTTCAACTTTGTCAATCGTGATAGTTTGACTTTAGTGATTTAGTGATTATACTACAACACATTGAGGAGGATCCAGGAGATAGCCGTTTACAGAGCAATAATTTGACTTAGATTATTTCACATAATCAAAGTTGAATTATCCTACAACACATAGAGGAGGATCCAGGAGATAGTCGTTTCCAGACTTGATAATTTGACTTAGATTATTTTACATAGTCAGTCGAATTATACTACAGCACATTGAGGAGGATCCAGGAGATAGCCGTTTACAGAGCAATAGTTTGACTTGGATTATTTCACATAATCAAAGTTGAATTATACTACAACACATTGAGGAGGATCCAGGAGATAGTCGTTTCCAGACTTGATAATTTGACTTAGATTATTTTACATAGTCAAAGTTGAATTATACTACAACACATTGAGGAGGATCCAGGAGATAGTCGTTTCCAGACTTGATAATTTGACTTAGATTATTTCACATAATCAAAGTTGAATTATACTACAACACATAGAGGAGGATCCAGGAGATAGTCGTTTCCAGACTTGATAATTTGACTTAGATTATTTCACATAATCAAAGTTGAATTATACTACAACACATAGAGGAGGATCCAGGAGATAGTCGTTTCCAGACTTGATAATTTGACTTAGATTATTTTACATAGTCAAAGTTGAATTATATTACAACACATTGAGGAGGATCCAGGAGATAGTCGTTTCCAGACTTGATAATTTGACTTGGATTATTTCACATAATCAAAGTTGAATTATACTACAACACATTGAGGAGGATCCAGGAGATAGTCGTTTCCAGACTTGATAATTTGACTTAGATTATTTCACATAATCAAAGTTGAATTATCCTACAACACATAGAGGAGGATCCAGGAGATAGCCATTTACAGAGCCGATAGTTTGACTTAGATTATTCCGCATAATCAAAGTTGAATTATACTACAACACAGTGAGGAGGATCCAGGAGATAGCCATTTACAGAGCCGATAGTTTGACTTAGATTATTTCGCTTAATCAAAGTTGAATTATACTATTACACAGTGACGAGGATCCAGGAGAGCTGATAGTTTGACTTGGATGATTTCACATCATCAAACTTGAATCATACTACACTACATAGAAGAGGATCCAGGAGATTACTATTCCAGGTTCAAGATACAATAACAATACAAGACGTACAAGTGGTACAATTTACATGAACTTTGCATATTCGGGATACAACAGTGTTATATAGTGATCATCAGTTTCAATTTATATGGACTCTGGATATTATTTTTTCAGTGATAATTATTATTAGCTCATATGGACTTTTGAGTTGTGAGTTTTGAGAGAAATAATAACACCGTAATATTCTTACATTACATTTGAAATTGCATGTACATCTTATTTGGGCTTATAAACGCCACAATATATTGTTTTATATTATATATATAAAATTGTATATTTTGTTTATTTCTTTAGGGACAAAGCACATTTAACGTGTGCCGTGCAATCCACAAGTAAACACCGTTTACTAAACAGTGGTCTTTTTATTAGCCACACTACCACATATCCACAAAAAAGGCCAAACTGTTACAACAGGATATGCGTCTGGGATTGATTGCTTGGAGATAATCTGGTTATTAACTATTATTACCTTTATCTGCTAAGTCCAAACTAAACCTTTTTCTCATCCCATCAATTTAAAAAACAGATTGGATTATAATTCATGATCATTTCACTATTACTGAATCTATCATGTCCTTTAATTAAATCAATAAAGTCATTTAATTGACTCAAATGTCTCAAAGATTCCACTTGTCTTAAAGGACCATCTTGATGAGATAAAAAGAATTATAAAGGGATTAAAATTTGACAATAAAAGGATGAACCATTCAGACGACAGTCAGTTTGTACATGTATATAACATTACAACAAATCAAATACTTAACCCTAGAGTGTCATGGGTTAATATGGGTAGAAAATACAAATTAAATTGATTATTCCCTCCTCTCTTTTAATTGCTGGTCTCTTTATATAATATGTCAAATGTGGCGAAATCAAATCATTGCTGTAGTGAACACCTACCAACAGTGAACATTTTTTCTCGGCAAAAAATTGTTCACTATACGCAGGTTTTACTGTAACCTGTTTTGAAAATGTCAGCATAGGGAGTGAGTATGAAAATGTTTTGAGTGTTCATCAAAAAAGTTAAAGCGCAAAGAAATGTAAAAGCATCAGCTAAAAGCAATGTGTTTACAAAATGCCTCTGAATATGTTTCATCTTTATCAATAAAAAATTTCTGCTTAGGTAACTATTGCACATTGTTCCTTACTCCCTAAATGTGGGGTCAATTTGCTGGGCCTCAGCCTTAAACTTGTCTCTGGTTTGATTGAACCCTATTGCTCTGCTCTATTCTCCGATTGTTATGCCATGTCTAAAAATACATGAATTTTTAGATCTCTGATATGGAAGTACACACCCCTCCATAAGTAAAAATGAAAACCTCCAGTTGCCAAACTCATTGAGGGGAGTGTATACAGTTTCTATATGATCAATTTGCTTGTACAATAACATTGGCAGACTAAGACACCGTCTGTAAAGAAGTATCAACAAACCACAGTGAATATGACACTGACAAAGAAAATACAAATATGCATATTCTGACTGGTATTCCACTGAATCAATATGACATCTTGTTTGTGTTTTATGCACTACTCAGCATATTGCAAGCACCTGCATTATCCTTACACCCCTTATTTTCTCAAATAAATCAGTCCTTCTTTGACCAATCATAAAATTTCAAATCATTCACTCCGTGGTAGAAAGAGTCATTGGAAACAAGGAAGAAGGATGGCACTTGTCACAAAACCAACTTCTACAGGCACTAGCATTGAAAATGTTACAGATATCACAAATAATTTGCCAACACTACAGTTTGAGAGTGCACTGTCAGAGGATGAACGGTTACTTTTGCCCCTAAGGGCCAGAACTCATGCAATAACAGTTACAGCTTGTGCACAGGCTGCATATTTTGTATCCATTCTCAATGAAGTCAGGTAGGCCTGACCTTAATTTTTAAAATTGTGTCTTTTAGGTATAGATTAAGACATTTGATATGAACTACTTTATCTTGAAACAAACAGATACATGTCAGGCCCGTAGCCAGGGGGGGTTCGCATGGTTCGGGCGAACCCCCCCCTGGCCAAGAATTCTTTCAAAATCATGCAGTTTTTCACCATTTTGAGCACTTTTTAAGTGATTTTGGCCCTTTTTGGACCCAAATTGTCAAAAGTGAACCCCCCCTGGAATTTTCCAAAAAGTGAACCCCCCCTTGGCAAATCCTGGCTACGGGCCTGCATGTGGCTGTCATCTCTGAATTGTACTCCAGCAATTTTATCTGTATTGTGTGCCATCTGCCTTCGTGTCCATGTTTCTTGATCGTATATTTTGCGAAAAAAAACATTGCATGTTTTTCCTGAGGAATACCTATTTGAGTACTTTTAATTTGCTTGATAACATGTTCACTATGAAATTCTTGACAAACATCTGTCTTTCTAATCTAGACAAATAAAAGCAGAATTGCGACACCCGAAACAGAAACGAGCAAAACTACTGCAAGAGACCATTCCACGTGACCCTATTCTTGTGGGAATCATAGGATGTGGCAGATTAGGCACTCACTTGGCTCAGATGTTACTCACGTATGGCGAGGTCCAACCTCAGGAACTGAAAATATCTACTAGAAGACCAGAAACTCTAGGTAAGAGATGTCCCTGCCTAAAACTCCAAAGGCACACTATTTTAACACAATATGATATGAGCAAATAAGTGTTTGTACGAAATATTTGTTTAAATTTTCACATCACTAACATGTAGGTTCAGCTTTCATGCTTCCAGTTTAATTTCTGGCATCCAGCATTTTTACAAAAATGTAATTTTTATCATGAAAAGCGAATAATACTTTTTATGATATTGCATCTTTAATTTCAGTGGAGCTCCAAGACAAGGGTGTCAAGTGTTTCCATGACAACGTACTGCTTGCCTCATCTGTACATCTTCTTTTCCTCTGTGTACTTCCCGCTCAGCTACCAAGCCTTGCTGAAGAAATCAAGCCCCATATATCCACACGTTGCACAATATATAGCTTCGTTAATACAATCCATACAGAAAAACTAAAACAATTATTAAACTTCACAAACATTGTGAAACCAGAATTCACTTGGACTGAAGACAACTGCAATACAGCGTGGGATTATACATGTAGTGTATGTGCCAGTATGGAAAACGCTGACACTGTGAGAAAAACATGTCCACTTACACAAGATAAAAATGGTAAGTTTTTCCGAGATCTTTATTCTGGTAACTTAGTTTTAAATGATGTTGCATACTGGTGAGATTTGTTCAGATTATGCCTTGAACAATAGGAAACAATGTTATCTTATTATAGAATATTAGACCAATGAAAACAGAGAAAATAGTCTTGCCTTGTTAGAGGAGCAAATATGAAAAAACAATAATGAAACCACTCTCAACAATCTGATGTGTCACATCTTCAATATCCATAAGCTGGGGAGTTAAAACCTCTGGGCTCTCTGGTAAAACCTCTCTTTTTATGATCATCAATAAATATATAAAATGTATGCTTTCATTTTAGCTTGTCCAATACAGACCAGTGATAAGCTGCCCGAGTTGTTGGTGTACGCTTTCATTAATATGTGTACTACACTCAGACTGACTAGGAGTGAAATTGTGGACCTCATCAATGGAGTCGTACTTGGTATCACGAGTCATGACATTAAAGGCATTGTGGCTGATGACATAACAAGGGTAGCTGTAGATTCTGCAGGGTGAGTAACTGGTCTTATCTAGATGCATTTCATGAATTTTTTTATTTTTATTTTTAATTAATTTAACTGAATTGAATTATTAACTTAATTGAAATATTTATACAATTTTTTGCATTTCCAGATTTCAGGTATCATTGAATATCTCAGAAATATATGCAGATATCTATCTCCACATCATTCAATATTTGTATAATATTTTCATTCATTTTAACCAATTTTAGACAATTTAGTTATAAAAATATAAACAAGTCTTCAGAAATAAATAGAATATCCAGAGAAATGTTTCAAATTTTTTTTATCAACCCACATATATTTAACTTCTTTTTAAAAACATAAATCTCTAGTTGCTTGATTATCATTTTATTTTCTTAATACATGTATTGTACATTTCATTACAGGTTGTTCCCAAAGTTTGACCTCACCCAAGTTGCTGTCAAAGAGACCTCTCTAGGAAAGAAACTCAGCCAAGATAAAGAAATAAGACATTCTTACATCACAAGATACTGTACCTTATTTGAACAATATCTACATTGGAAAAATTTTGGAAAGACAGAATAACAATGATATATGCCTACACCTAAAATGCAATATTAAATCTATACATGTAGTTTTGCATTATCTTAAATGTACATGCATATGTAGTGCATGTATACTGGTATATGTTGTATTTTTAATGATTAAACTAAAAAGGCAAAAAATAAAAAAAATGCGTAAATTGTACGTCAAATGCAATATAAATTTAAATTTTCTCATTTATTCCTTGGGAATAACTATGACACACAAGGCATTAACATGCAAAATGTCACTACCTCCAAATTGTTACAAACACCGACCACCAAACACTGCTATGGATGCCAAACGCTGTTACAGATGCTGAACACCAGCCAGGAAAAAGTTGGAAGACTATAACAATATATGATAACTCATTAGAAGTCATCTCAATGATTTCAGACTAAATTATACATATCATTCATTTTATTAAATTCTGGACCACCTATCAACACTTTTTAATGAAAAAAAAACTTTTAAAAAATAAGTTATTCTAAAAAGAGATTTTAGCACTTAAAGGAAACCAATGCCCATTTATTTCTATGCTGCTATATTTCAAACACACTGCTATTATGTTTGGACCTGTTTCATAAAATATTTGGATCTATGATCTGATGATAGCTCATATGATTACAAATCTACTTTCTTTTAAAATGGACACTCCCAACACCCTACTTAAACAATACTGGTATAGGAGAATATGTCAGATGTTGTATTTAAGAGAAGTAACATATACATCTAGAGAAATAATGCAAGAGATTGAAGAACATGGTGAATTTATGGTTGATTATATATTTTTTCTATACTTCAAATGTTAATAGGGCTGTTATGATAGCCATTTTGGTAACTTGAATTCAAAATGGCAGCCCCAAGTAGGTTTCTTTAAAGTATATTTTTAAAACTTAGTTGATACCCCAAAATTGTGAAACAATCAATACAATCTGAAATCAATGGGCTGTTAATACATTGCCAACAGAGAAAATATTGAGGTTTAGTATTAGAATATATCCTGTATTGCACTTCAAATCATTCAATAACTTATTGTACATTCTAACCTTAGACAGGCCTAGCACATAAATTAGTTCTACGAAGAAGTATTATGTTACAAAGCTGTGCTGTACAGTATACAATGGAGTATTATACTTATATGTACAAGTGTACATATGGAACTGGCCTATTTTGAAAAGTACTGTTTTCCAGTACAGTGAAACCTATGAATATGTATGCATTAAACACCTCTTCAAAACTATAAATCTATCACCATGACAGTTTTACTTTTAAATAAATGACTTTGTTAATACTACTTCTGTATAAGCATTTCTTAACTCATGTATATTACAGTTAACTTCGTACATCACATACATGCAGATCATTGTAATTATGACTGGAAAACTAAACTGAAAAAGTAGATATCTAATCTACTGGTACGCCTTGCCTTCTCCATCTCTGTCCTGCTGGACTGAGTATCAAAATGATATCTGATTTAGTGAAGTAACTTTAAAAACTGAGAAATCTGGTACAGTTGTTTAGGTTTTGGGTTTAAACCCATGTTCTCTGTAAAATGTGGGTATTTTCATTTCCATTAACTGGGTATTAATAAAACTTAAATTGCATGGTATGGGCCATTCCATATATTTAGTGCCAACGCAAATACCTTGTGGTCTTTTCATCCACATATGAAAATCAAATTTTGTTTCTTAATTACAATTTAATTCCTAATTCATTTATTCTAACGAGATCCCAGTAAACTGTATAATAAATTATGGGTTTGCTTTTACTTGGAGAAAGCAAGTCCTTCATATTAGACCTGCCAGATTGGACTTTTTACATCAGCCATTCAGCCCTTAGCGGAGGACTTATGTCACGGAGAGTGAGACACTCAAGGACACTACACTTCCTTCAAGGTAATAAAGTCCCTCAGACATAAAGGTATCTCTAATGTGAGGACCTTTTCCCCTATATTTGCCCCAAGACATTGTCTCACAGCCCTTCGTGTAATTCGTTTCAGTGTACGAGGATTGCAGCAAAAATCGTAGAGCTTTGTCATTGAATCGCGCAATTGCGACTGCGATTGCTCCATTGCACTAACAATGGCTAAAAGTTCCTTTAAATCATCCTCAGAAATCCTACATCCCGCCAGGGCCAACAACTTTGCCAATTTTGGTTCATTGTTTTTACACGCAGCAAGAAATGGTGTCACTGGATTCTCGTAGATGAGGACTACTCCAATAGACTGAGCATGCTGGTCTATGCCCCGACTCGCCACATCCAAATCTGCGTTATTTTCCAAAAGAAGCTGCACAACTTTTGGGTGATTCATTTGCACGGCATTCCATAATGCTGTAGTGTTTTGGACATTTCGGAAATTGATATTGGCACCATGTTCAATCAATTTCTTACAACTTTCAAGATCTCCATTGTACGTGCAATACATCAATGGAGTATCATTGTCTTTATCTGCATTATTCACATCACAGCCCTGTGTGAGTAGCAAATCTATGATATTTGAGTGATTACCATGCGCTGCAAGGGCTAGTTGCGTATTCTTATCATCAGTGCGCGTATCATGTAAAGCACCGTTATCTAACAACAGTTTGACGATTTCAAAATGGCCGTCCCAAGCAGCGAGATGTAGGGGTGTGTAACCGTGTTTATTCTGTATATTTACATTTGAACCTTTCACAAGTAGCTCCTCGCATATTTGGACAAAGTTGCTTATTGCAGCAGCATGGAGAGGTGTGTACCCAGACTCCCCTTTGACATTTGTGTCTGCTCCAGCATCTAGTAGTAGCTTAACACACTCTACATTGCCTGAAAAATAACAAGTACACATTTTGTTACAAATTCTTAAATCACCAGAGTATTATGAAAAAACTTAGTTACAATAATTCAAATTCATTTCAATCAGATTTTCATTTACTAAATAATATCCAAAGCTGGTCGAAATATCCTGATTTAACAAAACTTTCTTCTAACCAATATTGATTTTCAATCAGGTGTGAGGTATAATGTTCAACTTTTCATAACTGTCAAGAAAAGACTAAATGTTCTAATCAATATAAAATCCTCTGAACATAAATATTCAACTGTGTGAAAAATAATTTTCAAATTATCAACCTGGTACGGAACTCATCTCGTAGACTCAAAGCTGTCACAAAATCATTACTGGAGGGCATATGAACTTACCATAATTAACAGCCATATGCAGGGGGAAGTCAGACCCCTGTATGGCAATTGCAGGCTTGTTCACATCACATCCTGCCTTTATAAGAGTTACCACATTTTCCAACTTGTTATTTCTCACGGCATACGTCAATGGCGCAATCCCTCTCTTACTGCATATATTAACATCTGCGCCATGATCTATCAACTTCTGTATGCTGTATGTGCTATTATCGCAAACTAGAATCAACAATGCAGTTTCCCCCCGTTGATTACGCATGTTCGTATCGCAACCTTTATTTAACAGCAAATCAAGCATCTGGTGGTGGAACCCATAATACAGCTTCTTGGCTGTAAGGATGAGTGGACTATGACCATGATAGTCCTGAATGTTACATGTTTCCACCGTGCTGTGTTCTACGAGGACTTTAAGACTGTCTAATTGGTTGTGCTCTATGGCAAGATGAAGGGGTGTTTTACGAAGGATCTTTGTTTGGACTGATGTATTACATCCCTGCTCAACAAGAAGTCTGAAATAAAAGAAAAAAAAACATTAGTGTAATCATCCTTTGAAGGCAGCATTCTAGCATCTATATTGTCTTTTTGATCTGATAAAAGTTGTTTCACAGAGGCTGGGACACCATGATAAGTCATAATCTGTAAGTCTGTAGTTTAATACATTAACATGGATAGGTGTAATATAAGATGAATGTGGGTTAGGAAAATAGAGGTTGACTTAGTGTGGATCAATTGGGGCTGGGATGGACTCAAGATTCTTCAGATTGTGGCACAGGTGTGGTAAGGCACAGGTGTGGTTATAAAAATAGGGTAACAGACTGCTTATGAGCCATTATTGGTTCCCTCTTTGATGATTGATCCAAAGACCTCTGCCAGGATCAGTCCACTCAAGGAGATAAAAGTAATCAGTTTTTCAAACTATCTAACTATACTTACTGTACTAGCCATGTGTGCCCATGTCTGGCTACAACATGTAATGGATAAACTACAGCAATCTGGAAGTCATTGTCTCCACCATCTCCACCTCCCTGCTGTGCCTCACCCTCAACCTCCAAACATTCACAGCAACCTGGAAATAACCAAATAAAAGATGTAATGGATGAACCACAGCAATCTGGAAGTCATTATCTCCACCATCTCCACCTCCCTGCTGTGCCTTACCCTCCACCTCCAAACATTCACAGCAACCTGGAAATAACCAAATAAAAGATGTAATGGATGAACCACAGCAATCTGGAAGTCATTGTCTCCATCATCTCCATCTGTCTGCTGTGCATCACCCTCCACCTCCAAACATTCACAGCAACCTGGAAATAACCAAATAAAAGATGTAATGGATGAACCACAGCAATCTGGAAGTCATTGTCTCCATCATCTCCATCTGTCTGCTGTGCATCAACCCCCACCTCCAAACATTCACAGCAACCTGGAAATAACCAAATAAAAGATGTAATGGATGAACCACAGCAATCTGGAAGTCATTATCTCCACCATCTCCATCTCCCTGCAGTGCCTCACCCTCAACCTCTAAACATTCACAGCAACCTGGATATAACCAAATAAAAGATGTAATGGATGAACCACAGCAATCTGGAAGTCATTTTCTCCACCATCGCCATCTCCCTGCAGTGCCTCACCCTCAACCTCTAAACATTCACAGCAACCTGGAAATAACCAAATAAAAGATCATTTCAAGTGAAACGATGTTAACTTTTCAATTAACAAATTTTGGGGGAGGAATATATGTGACATAAATTATTGAGTCTTAACCATAAATGGTATGAATCTTTTTATCAAATATGTCAAATATCCAAATTTTCCAATGACATGTTTTTTTTTTTGGAATTTCATACGTTGAAAGTTATATGGTTAGATGCTTCCATCTGTAACATCATGAAGAAAAATTTATGTTCCAAGAAAGTGTTCAAAATTTGTGAAAATTGTGTTAATACTATGAACATATTTACTGTACACTTTCAAAGCTGTACAACTCATGATGCACCAATCTGAGGTTTGCATAAGATCCTCAGAGTCTGGAATTTTGCATGCAGTATTGTCCCTGGGAGTGGGATTTTGGTATAGCACTGCCCAAGGAGTACTTCTAGTAAGTAGAATTTCAATTATAGTTGAAAAGCTATTGAACACTGTACATCTCACAAAAAACAAATTTTCATATCCCGAAATGAATGAGGATAAGTAAGCAAAGACCATCCTTAAAGAGCTGAGTAGTGGAATACAACATTATTTCCTTAGGAATTTTTAGAGATTTCTGAAGGGGATGCAGCCACACCCAACACCCCCCCCCCCCCATCTGACAGGCCTGTAAACACAATGTACGGTATTTACCTGAATCCAACCTATCCAGGTACTTCTCGACATAATGATTGTGCCCCGATTCAAAGTAATGGCCACAGTAGCACCCTCCATTAGAGTCAGACTTGGATTCTATAAACACAAAATACAGAGATAAGCAGAAATACATATTATATTATATTCAAAGTTATGGCCACAGTAGCACCCTCCATTAGAGTCAGACTTGGATTCTATAAACACAAAATACAGAGATAAGCAGAAATACATATTATATTATATTCAAAGTAATGGCCACAGTAGCACCCTCCATTAGAGTCAGACTTGGATTCTATAAACAAAAATTGCAGAAATAAGCAGAAATACATATTATATTATATTCAAAGTAATGGCCACAGTAGCACCCTCCATTAGAGCCAGACTTGGATTCTAGAAACACAAAATGCAGAGATAAGTAGAAATACATATTATATTATATTCAAAGTAATGGCCACAGTAGCACCCTCCATTAGAGTCAGACTTGGATTCTATAAACAAAAATTGCAGAAATAAGCAGAAATACATATTATATTATATTCAAAGTAATGGCCACAGTAGCACCCTCCATTAGAGCCAGACTTGGATTCTAGAAACACAAAATGCAGAGATAAGTAGAAATACATATTATATTATATTCAAAGTAATGGCCACAGTAGCACCCTCCATTAGAGTCAGACTTGGATTCTAGAAACACAAAATGCAGAGATAAGCAGAAATACATATTATATTATATTCAAAGTAATGGCCACAGTAACACCCTCCATTAGAGTCAGACTTGGATTCTGTAAACACAAAATGCAGAAATAAGCAGAAATACATATTATATTATATTCAAAGTAATGGCCACAGTAGCACCCTCCATTAGAGTCAGACTTGGATTCTATAAACACAAATTGCAGAAATAAGCAGAAAAACATATTATATTATATTCAAAGTAATGGCCACAGTAGCACCCTCCATTAGAGTCAGACTTGGATTCTATAAACACAAAATACAGAGAAAAGCAGAAATAAATGTACATATCACATGCATATTAGAGTGGAAATTATAAATATTTAGATATAACTTCTCACACATAAAATTAAACTCTCCAAACACAAATTACATATTTTGAAAAAGTCAAGAAATTATCATGGGTGGAAAAATACAATGTGAATGTTTAAAAACTATAAAACAATGTAGCTTTACTGTACAGTTTTCTAAAAAAAAATTCATTATTAGTCTCTCATGACAGTCTCTTCAAAATACTGCAATTATGTAGGACTTGGCAGAATATTAAGGGAACAGGTCAAAAAATTAATTTTTCACAAAATCAATTTAATGATTTAGCTTAGACAAGTTGACAACTCCCTTTTTGTTAAAGCAAAGACTTAACTAAATTAATTACATTTTTTGATGGACATTTAAATATTGACCCGGTCCCTAATGGACATTGAAGTGACATAAGAAAAATATGTCACCTATATAACTGATGAATAAAAAAGGAGATGTAAATACATTCATTAAAACAGAATTACTATCTTTTGAAAACACTACTTTGGTATTTGACACAGTCCCCTTTATTATTTCTGTCACATTCATTGCGTGTTGTTATACATCAGGATATGAGGTTGGAATCAAGCCATTAATTAGAGTGTAATGAATATATTTTAATTTGGTTGACATATTGCAAAGTATGGCGTAATCAGACATATTGTTATCTATAAATGAGGTCATAGGAAGCTCAGACCGATTATATATTTTATAACAGTTTCCGGAACTGCTTAAATAAATGGCCAAAGTAAAATGCTCTGGGATCTGGGATCACAAAATTATTGAAATCATAAAAGATGTACATGCATTCCATTAGTATTAGATTGAAATATTTGGTAATCCTATACTTACCAAGGTTGCCTCTAAGAAAATTATCCAACTTAAAAATTGTATTGCTGTTGGTAAACAGAACAATATTGGTATTTACTATTTAGTTGATTCCATTTTTTGATTCTTGAAAAAGGTTGTTTTTTATAAAACGTACTGACTGTCACTGTAATATGTTGTATATATTTTGATGGTTTTAATAAAAAAATTGAAATAATGGTATTAAATTGAAATGGCAAATAAGACGTGTCAAAATTTCAGGGCATCATATAAACTACACAGATCATACAGTATATTTTGTCAATTCATCAAATGTAGGTTTACTTTAATAAGTTTACTTAAGACTGATGTAAATTTAATTTTGTCTTTTTTGCAAAGGATTTTGTTGTAGGACAAGGAAATCAACACCATGGTGGCTAAAAATGATTGTGTCAACTCAAATATCAATTATCTCAATCTTTAAATGCCACAAAAGACAATGTGCCTCATCATAGTTTAGTATCTCTGTTAGTCGTCTGGCCATGGACGGGTTCAGGAGTTCAAGCAAACCCTCTGGCCAAAAACTTTTTCAAAATTATGCAGGTTTCCACAATTTTGCTGACTATTCAAGTGATTTTGGGCCAAAATTATCAAATTTTAACAACCTGGAATTTTTTTAAAACTCAACCCCCCTTGGGCTACGGGCCTGGTCTTCTAAACCCTTATGATGTGTCCCAGGAATACTTACTGAGGTAGAATGCCACATTAAGGCTTAGGGTTCCATTCAGTATTAAAGCCTTTAACTCCATTGATCCACTGCATAGTAGCCTGTAAAGCTGTTTCAACTTTTCCTTATCATCTGTAACAATAAAATGTAAAAGGCCCCGTGTAAAGTTTGAAAAAATATTTTGATCATGACTCATGTTATAGACAACCCCCCCCCAATAAAAAACATATTCAGAAAGTCTGCCTTTTGTTTTTAAAATATTCAAAGGACCAGGTATAGTATGGCAAGTGATTTGGACAGTCATATCTTTCACCATGAGTACTTTCTGGCCATAAATACAGTGGTTTTCATTAAACAATATGTTTTCTTTCAAGCGTACTGAGATCATACTGAGATCTAAAATCACTTGCCATACTATATCTGGTCTTTTCTACCACATTCAAAGTAAAACTCGGTAATTCTAATTACCAAATATATAACTATACATTGCAGAGCATATCATTTTCTCAACCATTAGAATTCTTATAATGCCATGATGTAAAAATCTTGATGTCACATGTTTTTCAACCAATTTTCAAATGTCATAATGTACATATGGGATTGAACACTCTAGTAATTTAGGTAAAGACTTGGCAAGATATACCTCTTTCTTTAATAATGTCAATTCAGTTTGGAACTATTCAAGGAAGTAGATGGGATCATAGAGACAAGTTCAGATTTAGTAAATCTCATCTTTTTTAGATTAAGCCTTAGTCCAACAGTTCAGACTTCAGAATACTTTTTTTGATTTTTAAGAGTTTTATGGATATACAGGTTTCAATAGCCTTAAATAGGTAAAATGAAACCTGTACTAAACAGCTCTCTAATCCAAACACCTCTCAATGAGAATACTTTTTCTCAGTCCCAAAGGACGAGTGGCTTTAAGACCCTATATTAGCCCCCAAGATATTTAGAAAAAATTGTACAGGATATCAAAGAAGAGACTTTGTTTGATAACCAGATCCAAAAATTAGGTCATTCTGGCATTTATATTTCAAAATATAGGTCATTCTATTAACGTGTATAAAATTACCTTTTCAAGGAAAAATCACTTTTTTCACATCATTATTGTCAATGTTTCTATTTATTATCAAAGTAATCATTATTTTCAGTCATTTAAGACTTTTTAATTGATCCTATTGTTATTATCTTACATAATAGTGACAAAGCATATTGGGCAACATTCGAAAACATATAAAATATAACAAGTCAAAAATACAAACAAAATATTGAATAGTGATCTTCTTTATACTTCATTTAGAAAAATTGTCTACAAAAAAAGTTTGCGAAACTATGTCAGAAAAGAATATTGAGTTTTTTTTAATTTACATCACAATGAGAAAGAACAAGGGACAACATTTAAAAACACCTGAAGTAATTAACAAGTCAAAAATGCATATCAATCATTTATATTGATCTGCTTCCTTGAGATCATTTGCACATATGCAGTTTGTGGCAGTAAATTACTGAATTTATTATATCACATCATAGTGAGGAAGCACAAAGAGCAACATTTGAAAACACGTGGACTTTACATAATTGTTGATGAGCACATTCATGTGTTTGTTCATTATAATAAGAGATTCTCTGAGCTATAATCATCTTCTTCAGATGACAACATTTCATACATATCTTTTGATTTTAAAATGTCAAACTTCGTGCATTTCTTTTTGCTTTTATACCCCTTGTGCCTACAACCCTACTCCCAACAAGGCGTGTACAACACCATCCAGTGATTGCATCAATACTATTACATACATCTGGATCTGGGTTATACTCCACCCATGTATAATGAGATTTAGAGGACACAAACCGATTACTGGACTTTTACACAAATTAGGCCATATGTATCTTTTTTTTAACAATGATGGTATTTTTCCCATCTACTTGAAGATGGTCATCTGTGCATCGTTTAAATTGGTTGGCTTGATCTCAAGAGAGTCTACTATGATTTAGATGTAACCCTCTTGTCTCCATACAGGGGGTACTGGGAGATTGCAGTTCACTCATGCAGTTCCCTTTGCTTTGGGCATTTTATAAGCGAATGTCATTTTTCCGCCTACTGATTGTGACTTACAGTATATACTTCTGTACAATAAAGTTGAGCTGGATTTCTAAATATGAACATTGGTATGATCAGAGAGTAAACTGTGATAATATAAAACAAAATATCCATACACAAAACATCAAGATAAAATGATTGTAGAACAATCATCTCATGTAATGTATTGAAAGGAATTGCATGTTATTATGTTGCTTAGAGCCATGGTAAAGATATATGCTTCTCAAGAGGTCATGCTCCAGTGCAAGCATACATATTAGTTCATGAAAAGATCATATAAATAAAGAAAACATACTCAAATATATAAAACACAACTGTCACAATAATTCTAAGGATTTTCAAAATGGCTGACATCATTTTATTTCATGCTGAAAATTGCAGAAAAGTTCCAATTTTGCACAACGCTTGGTCCTTACCTAGATTTTTACATATCTCAAGAAGTACCTTAGAAGTACACTATTCCCTCAATACATATAACTTTCTAGGTAAGAACCAAGCGAAGTGATACATACCTCCCAAATCAACCAAAATATACTTATATCAGTAATCTTGAATGCTTTTTATTGCTATTTCTTGAAAATATACATATTTATCTACAATTTGATCCTACATATCAAGGATATTAACGACTTTGCATTTTTCAAAAAATGTTAAGTGACCCCAGGGGTGTTTATAGCCATTCGTTCTTTGTTATCTCCATATATATGAACTCAGACTTTGATTTCTATGGTCAGAAACTTAAATTCATGGCCAGAACGGGATGTTTTGGCCTTCGCTCCGACCTTCAAAGATGGGGTCAAGACAACGGTATATGTCTCTTTTGTAACCTCAATGTTAAAGATACTATACAGCATAGACTTTTTGTCTGTCCCTACTTTGGTAGTGATAGGAATGTATTTTTCAATAATGTTGTGTCAAACTGCAACCACCACCTCTCCTCTGACTTTCTAGCTGGAAGTGTACAACTAAAAACATGTTGGGCTCTGGGAGATGACACTTTAATCTTGTGGGGACATGATAATTACGTGAAGTTTGACAAATATGTCAAATTGTTTTTAAAGAAAATACATGTACAGTGCACACAATAGTCGTATGCATGTTTTTAGTGGCCTTTTGCATGATATGTTTTATCCCACTTATATTTTATATATGATGTATTGGATGCACCGATTGAGTGCCGCTGCTCTAAAAGCGTTTTCCAAATAAAAAAATAAAAAATTAAAAAATAAATAAATAGAAAACCAGTGGCATTCGGATTAGGCAGGTATTACAGTATTTCTGTGTATACAGAAATTTCAATGGCTTTTTTATAGATAATAGGGAGTTTAAGCTTGCAATCTTTTTCACAACCTAAAACATGAACGGAAAATATTTAAGCGATGCATTTGCATGGGTGATTGGTCATATATAGGTTGGCATTTTGGTTATATATGCTAGGTTAAACTTCCTAATGATAAACTCAGCCTCTACATACCTGATGTTAGTTGTTTCAGTTTTTCAAGGTGTTCCTGGCTTTCCTCTGATGCCTCTGAGCAGTGCCACCCAGCTATGGGTGGCAGCATATCTAATTGACCTTCCTCAAACTCATCGTCACTTGAATCTGAATCTGTGTCAAAATCCAGACCGCCATCTACATGATTAGCCATCTAAAGTATGTATAGATATACATGTAATAGCAATGTTATACAGATGATACAATGTAGATCCATTTCAATGTTTTATTTACGTCAATAAAACCTAAAAAATAAGGGATCAAAACACCAAAGTGTAATATTATATAGAAAAAATATATTCGTATTGCACACAATGATGTAATCTTAGATTGCTTGTTGCCACAAAATTAATGTACCTTATTTTTCACAATCAAAGTAATCAGAAAAATCATTTGGAACACTTTAGTAATTCAGTGTTCTTGTCAGTGGCATTTCACTAAGTGTGTCAAGGGCGGTATTTATTGACAGGATTTGTCATTTCGATGTTACTGCAATCTGAACCAAATTTTTCCAAAGCTGTCTCCAAAACATGATCAAGGTTTATGCATGCTTGTATCTCATCATTTCAGGAATGAAATTAACAAATCAGGAATAAATTAAACTCATTAACTTTTTTGCTCTCCTGGTGGAATATACTCGGAAGTTAAATCTAGTTGCAGGCCACAAGAGATGTCAGATAAAAAGTAAGGCCAACTTGTTGATCTAAGACTTTCTTTTACACCTTAAGCATTTCAATGACTGAGTTGTTTTCTTTACTCTCTGTTAAGCATATTAAAAAAGGCAAGCAGTTGACTTAGAAATCTAAGAGTTACCAGATTACGTTTTTTTACATCCATTCCATTTATAAGTATTTTCTACCATCTAAAGTGCATGTGAGGGTCCTATTCATGAGGTATCCCTTAGATTTCTAAGTCAACTGCTTGCCTTTTTAATGCTTAAAGGAACATTGCGATCAATAGAGGATAAAATGATTAAAAATAACATTTTTCTGACTATAAACATTTACTGAACATAGCTGGCTCAAAAGCCAGCTGACGGAACATTGAAATATACCGTTTTGTAAAGAGGTTTTCTCAAATTTCCGGCAGGCGCGCTGGAATAAGTTAACGATATTAAAGAATATAACTGAATGTAACTTGCCCTTTTCATGACGCGTGGTGATAATAAGTCCTACTTGTTGTGTAATTTGCAATTAAAGTGGAGAAATTCCAGACCTGGTGCGCACCATTTTCAAACTTTTGCGCATGCGTGCACATGCGCCTTGTACTTTACATTTGCATGGGCATTGCCGCTAAAAAGATCACGTGTCTATTCATATTTAGATAGCGCAAGTTATTTTGTAGCAAATCTTTACTTTCGAAAGTCAAGAGATCTCGATTTACTACAACAACAGACTGTTGGAGGATCAAAATAGGGTAACAACAAATAAATTATGTATTGATTCAAATATATAGTGTATTATAAACGCTACTCAGCACAGCGTTTAGTCAAAACGGGTTCGATTTTTTCTCTTCAAGAATTTTCAATCCAGCATCCGGTAGAGTAAATAAACATGATTGCCTGGTCTAACACCTTCTCTGGTGAACCTATTTTCGAAATATGCATGCAGATCAAAGATTCAAAGTCGATGATTTTTATGAATTTGTCCGATATATTTGTGTTGATTGTTAAATTACAAAATAGGTAGGGTAAAGAATATGTCAAAGTCATTTGATCTCGTCCAAGGAGCAATATTTTGTCGTTTAGAATTCCTTTAACAGAGATTAGGCCGATTCTGACTACCCCCATAAATGTCGGGTCGCGTTTTTCTTATTTTTTAATATCTTAGTGCCAATACTTCACCACACATAAAACCTATTTCTTATCGTGTATCTCGGAGGAATTTCAAAGCAAGTTGAAAGAAAGTTGAAATTATTGATAAATAATTAGGTATTACTCACGTTTTTAAGATGTTCGTTTCCACAAATGATTCTTCATCAATATGATACTATTTGTAGCCTCAAGTATATTATATTTAGTCTTTTATCGAAGATTTACTATGTTTATGTTTATGTTTCTTTATTTGGACCATAAATTGATCATACAAATACATACTGGTATATATTAAGTAAAATAAAATAATATTACAATTTTACAGTGATAGTAAAGGTTGGTGGTGGTGTACAGAACATGTAATTATATGCCCCTTGGGTTTGATGATTGCTTTAATGCATCCCTGTGCATTTCATAAATAGCATGTATTGTCTTCAATATTAATCGACAGTCCCTATCTCCAAACTGACTACTGTCCAGGATAAGTCTTATCTTTTCTAAATCGGTGCCATGTAGGTTACTGTTCTCAATGATATTGTTCAATTGATGACTTAAGTGCTCAACTGCCTGGCAGTGAAATAATAAGTGTTGCAGTGTCTGCACTGCCTTATGACAAAGTGGACATGTCTCACTATCTTTATATTTTTCACAAATGAGTGATGAGTTTCCACACAAAAGTCTCACCAGGGTTATACATGGTCTAATAAGGTATGGGTCATTTTTTGCCAATATCCACCACTTAATAGGTTTGATAACCTTAACGACATTTCTGAACGTACTGAGAGACCTGTACATCATACAACTAGACCTCCATTTTTCCAACTCATGTCTGTGCAACACATCCTTAACAATACTTTTCCATTGTGACTTCGAGATAGATACTCCATAGAAAAGCCATTGCATTACATGATCTATTAAGTTGAACCTTTCAGCTATGTTAAGTATATCCCAGATAGGAGAATGACAATTGTTCTTTTTGTGGGTAAGCGTGCTGTTCAACCATTGACACACTCTTATGATCGCAATTTTCTTATAGACTACATCTACTGGTAACATGAGCAACTGCCATAAAAACATGAGCTTTCTTTGTAAGATTATAGTTGTGATATTATTCCACCCTAATGGTGCTAAACATGCACTGTTTGCCGTACTAAGAGGAAGACCCTGCAGTTGTTTCGCTATTTTAAAATGTGTGTTTTCATAAATATTCATTTCTTTTTCAGTCAGAACAATCGCTTCTACTCCATATGTCACTGATGGCACTACAATACTCCAATATATGTGTGATGCAGAGAGGGGATTATACCTTACAGTGTCCATGGATACTAGTCCGATCCCTGCATTCATTGTCATGCGTCCAGTCCTACATTTTTCATTGACATATGGCGTATTATCTCCAGTTGATGACAAGTCGACTCCAACATGTTTACACACATTGGTTATTTCCAACAAAGTCCCTGATAGTGTTAGTTCCTTAGGCTTTTGTGTTTCATGAGTATTGGTGGGTGGGAAGTAAAGAACTTGTGTTTTATTGGGGTGGTACCTATATCTCCATTTTTTACTATGGTTAAATATAATATTCAGCAATTTTTGCATGTTATTAGCATCTATAGCTACCAGGGTCATGTCATCAGCATATGCTGGGCTTGTAAGCTTCAAGTCCCCAATTCCAGCTCCTAGTCCCGAAGCAGCTAATTCCTCCAATAGGCCAGATGTGAATCGCATATAGAGGTACATCGACAGGATCCCGCCCTGATGGACTCCCTGTAATACATTAAATGGTTGTGATAATTTATTTCCTACTCTGATGACACATCTGTAATTATTATACCATATATTGATAATTCTCCACATCTTTACATGTATACCCTGCTTGTAAAGAATATACATGAGGCCCTGTATCCAGACAGAATCGAACGCTTTCCTCACATCCACTGCTGTAACGTAACACTTCCCCCCTCTTTCAAGATTGTAGGCAATTGTCTCTCGGAGAGTGACAGATGTTTGTAAACACGAACAGTGTAGTTTATTACCACCTTGAAGTTCATGTATATCCTTTACTCGCTTGTTTTGCATAGAGCGCATCAGTAATAATCTTTCAAACAACTTACTAAACTGTATCATCAATGTTATACCCCTATGATCATCTTTATTTAGTGGGTCCTTCTGGCCCCCTTTGAAAAGTGGGATTAAAATTCCAATTTTAAAATATTCTGGAACATATTCTTGATGTATGATACAATTCATCAAGATTGTAAGGATTTCTAATACACAAGGGCCACCATATTTAATATGTTCAGAAGTAATATTATCATGTCCTGGGGCTCTTTTAGGTTTCATTAGATGTACCGCCTGCTCTAATTCTGCATTTGTGAAAGGATCCTCCATATTGTCATCTCCATTGCTTTTTGAAGACTCCATCATCTGAATTAGTTCATTTTCAATTTGTTGCTTGTGTACATCATCATACAAAATGTCATTTTTTGGGTAAACCAATTCAGAAAATATGTTCTCCATTCATCCAGAATCTCTCTATCTTCATTAAGTATCTGTCCATTGTCATTTCTTATTGGGTTGGTCTTCACTGGTGTTTTTCTGCGTCTTTTCACTAGGTACCAGAATGCTTTCAAGTCTATATTATCATCATCTATCTGTTTCTGACATTCACGCTCATATTTATATCGTTCTCTCCTTAACAACCTTCTGAATTGTTGCTTGGCTTCTCTGTACTGTTTGTATGTCTGGTTTTGTTGATCCATGGGTTTCCCTTCTTTAAGCCATTGTTTATATTTAAAACGCTTTGCATTAAGAAACTGTTTTAGTTCAGGTGACCAGAATGGCTTTAAATGTTTGTTATACCTCTGTTTTGGTATGGTGGCCTCTGCCCCAGATAGCAAAATATTACCTAAACTTCTGAAATAGTATTCTATATCTTCGTTTCTTAATGTACCATGTTCAACCTTAATGTTCAATTTTTCAATTAAAGGAGTTATCTCTGTTGTCATTTTCTGTGTATATGTGTCATTTATATCTTCATTTGTCATTCTTGACCATGCAATGCAAGGCTTTGGAGTAATTGGATTCGCATAGAGGTCCGCCATATCAATGTCAATGTTAATGTACAAAGGCAGATGGTCTGACAAATTTTCTAAACATTCATCAATAATTCTACATTCTTTGACATTCTGAAGAATAGAATTCGACAAGAGACAATGATCTATATACGATCTACCAATGCCTTCTTTGACAAAAGTATATCTTGGACCTGTAGTAAAGTTGAACATATCAACACATGTTAATGAATTTTCCTGTGAAAATTTAAACAACTTTTTACCATTGGGAGATGCTATATGGTCACTGCCTCTTGTCCCAGTAAGATTCCCTAGACATCCATTCATATCGCCTATAATGACAATATTACCAGTAGCAGAAAGTGTTTGTACTATTTCATGCAATTGTTCTAATACACTATCGAAACATTGACTCCGACACTGTGGTTGGGGTAAATAAACAGATAATATATGCAAATTAGTTGTATTAATGCCAATAGATATACCCACTATTCTATCAGTTTTCATCTTAATATGCGATACATTTTTAAGAGTTTTTCTGTACCCAATAGCAACTCCCCCTTGACCAAAAATCATGCCTTTATGCATAGGGTTTAGTTCACTACTGCACATGGGTAAAACTTCAAACTCACTGTTAATCATTTTAAGATCATTTGCATTATCTGGAAATAGCATGTGTTCAGACAATGCAATCACATCAGCACTTTGCATTAGATATCGAACATAGTTCTCTCCTGTTCTAATGCCATTTACATTATACCCTATAATGGACAGACTCATCGATAGAATAATTATGTAAGTGATAGTCATCATTTTGTATGTATAAATTCAACATTAACATGTAGCTAATCAACATTATCATTTCCATAACGCCTGTCCCAGCCGTTACTGTCAAAGCGGGGTGGTGTAGCGAGTCTGGTGAAGCGATTCCGATGTTGTCCAGTGTCTTTATTATTAGAACGTGATGGATATCGCTGCCATTCTCGACACTGAATGTTGGAATCGGGCCAAAAATAAGGATCTTTCATATCTACAATTGACAATAACGGTACTACTACTTTCACCCCAATGCTATCGTCGAACATCTTTTTTTCGAATAATGTTACATCTCATCACTCGAATACCATTGTCGATCAGGTGCTGCTTTACTAGGCCCATTGCTATGTCAGGTGTCACATCATTACTTACAGCAACATTGTCAACGTACATATGTATTGTATATGGATAACAAGATAATTTTTCAATTTTTCCACTTTTAATTTTTGAGCATGCGCAGTAGCGTATTACATATCGAAATATGCAACGAAATGAAAAAACGAAATCACAAATAATCGAAAAGTAAAATGGAGGGAATATTTGAAATTATCAAAAGCAAATACAAATATACCTTTGCAAACTTGAAACAACAGCAACGTTCGACATTAGAGGCGTTTATTGAGGGCAAGGACTGGAAGTCGCCATTTTCTGTAAATATCACAAGGTAATTTCGTTTTGCCATCAAAAGTTTAACATTTACCCAGCTTCAGACCGGAACTCAGTAATCCCACAATGCAGTAGAAACTAGTTCAGATTTCAAAAAACTCACAAAAATTGGAGGCTCACACATTAAGCTGAACAGTTGCCGATACATAGCATCATTTACATACATTAATCGTTAATAACTTCGGGGAAAGTGTTTTGTCAAAAAAAGTCAAGAGAAGAGGTAAGGAAACTGCCTATTTATATTTTGATTTTCTACTTGAATTACCAAGGTAACCAGGTACACGCTAAGGAATAGGTTTCATGTGTGGGGGAGTATTGGCACAAGAATGATAAAATATAAGAAAAAACGCCAATTCGACCCCACATTTATGGGGGTAATTCTGACAGATCAGCATAAAAAATCAGGAAATTAGACGTCCAATTTTCTAGTTGTATTGCAATGTGTTCCCTACAATCTCGCTTCAATCATCTGAAACTTTTATTCATAAAGATAAAAAATATGAAGAAATAACTTCAGCTTACCGTTAATAATGCAGACACCTAAATATTTGAGAAACTGTGCAAAATATTCCAATTTTCAAGAACTGCTACCGGATTACGTTCAATTAATTGAACACATGCCAATTTATTTCTGTCCATTTTTCAAAAATATCAAGCAATATAAGTTGATTAAAAACAATTATATATTGAAATTATTTATTTTATCCAAAATATCCAATGTTAAAATATACACGACTGTTTTCTTATATAGTTTATCTAAAAATTGGACTGTGTAAAGTCGGTACTTCCTGTTAAAAAAGTAAAAATGGAAAAAGGAGATAGTGCGAACAATTGTTTTAAACAGCAGCGATACAATGACAACGCAGAGCCAACACACAGTTCAAAAGAACAGGTAACATTTATCTGAGCTAGGGTGGTTGCATTGACCGTACAGGTGCACATACACACAGTGAGTGCTCACCATAAATGGGCTTCAAGTTGAAAGCCCATGCCATAAATTAATAAATGGCATCTTGTTTTTCTATCACCATACCCAGACCATGGTGACTTGAGACTTCATACTATCCAATAATGTCTAGATCACGGACTTGAGTCAAAGTTTTCGAAACTTCCATATAATTTTACAAGGATTGGAAACAAGCAGCCAGCGCTTTGGCAGAAGGTCATGTGATCACCTCTTGGAAAATGTGTGCTCCTGTTTGATCACATGATCATATAGTGCTATTTGATTGGTCATCGTATAGACTGGTGTACATAATTCTGATCTCATCATCCATTGCCAAAACGCTGACTGGATCTTACCAGTCACCAAAAGAAAGTCAAATGAGGCTAATACAATTACAGTTATAATTTTGAGTGATAAGATACTGAAAGACTCTTGTTAATTTAGCTGTGTAAGTTTAAGTCACCAAGATGAGCTTTTTGAATTCCTGTTTCCAATCCTTGTGAAATTATATGGAAGTAAGTTTCAAAAGAAATGTTGACTCAAGTCCGTGGTCTAAATACACATTCCTAAATTTTGTATATTTTCCATTTTGTATACTCTCAACTACTAATGTATGGTCACTTGAAAATTCTCTTCTTCTTTAACATGGGGAATCCTCACTTCAGCAAATCCAGGTGTCATTTATTTATGGTGAGCATTATAGTTCTTTCAAAGCCATCTCTGTATTGTGGCCTTGCTCCAGCCATGAAACCAAGAGGAGGGAAACCCCAGAGCTTAGGACTGATAATAAATACCAAATGTATATGAATATGAGATACCGGTATTTAAAAAACTCTATCCATTGCATTGCTTATGACATCCTTCCCATCATCAAAAGTTGCCTTGTATATGTTGTTCATATTTTTCAGATATCCTGTTTACACACGTATAATATTATTATCTGCTTATTTTCTTTCAGAAAAATGTTGAGGACAGCTGTGAGCTTCTGTTTGAAGAATTTGCTGCTAAGGTTAAGGTGGACATTGGGTAAGTTTATTATTTTATTTTATTTTTATGCAAAAATTGAGGTTAAGAAAATTTTGCCATCTGTTACTTACCTTAATTGCCACGATAACAATAAATAAGAAGGAGAAGGAGAAATAAACAAGAAAATTTAAGAAATTTAACGAAAAGTTTCATTTTTCAAAACAATGAAAGAGACCTTTTTTCTTTATTAACCCAAAATCAGTGGTGTTCAATGATGGTATCTACATTTAGTTTCATATACACCATCCTTTAACATTTTTCTTTCACATCATATGAAGCAATGTATCCACTGCGCATGCTCAATTTTTCTGTATACTCATATGAAACAAAGGCTGTCTTACACATTAAGGAAATATGTGTGTTTTGTAGTGTTCCTATTCTACATAGAGACAGACATATTCCATACTTGATTAAAGGACTACGGAATCTCTCAGAGTCATATGAGGTAAGTAGAGTAAAGGATGGGGAATCCCATTGGTACTTCAATGTAATGTTCCCTTATGGAGGTGTTCAATCTTCAGAGTTACATTTTATAATAAGTTAAAAGGTTACTGAACTTTGAAAATTGTTTCAGAAAAAGTTATTTCAGAAAGTTTTCAGTAAAGGTAACTTTTAAAAAAGATTGATGTTGGCCAAATTGATACTTTCTCAATAACAAAATATTAGATTTTCATGTCCTCAAACATTCCAAAATACATTGTGAAATGCATTATTTTTCTAACATACCATTACCTATATTAAATTTTCTGTTGCAGTGCTTAGATGCTAGCAGGCCATGGTTGTGTTATTGGATCCTACACAGTCTTGAGCTACTGGATGTTCCCGTTCCAGAAGATCTCAAGTCACAGTAAGTTCTTTCATCCATTTTGTATCAGGTAAACAAATCTGAAAAGCTCAAAGGAACCTTCATGTTGTTTGCCTCATCCTGTGTTTGTATGTCTTACGTAGAGAGGCATTTACTCTTTTTGGCTTTTACACTCATTTATTTGAGCTCATATGTTGAGCTAAACTATTGCTATCATCCATTTGTATGGTTGTATTTACTGTAAATGTGTTCATAAAAAAAAAAAAAGTTTAAATCTTACTTACCTAAAAGCTGCATCATTTTTGTACAACATTTAGCACTTTTGTAAGTAAAATATCTTTTTTAGTTATGACTTGATCTACATTTCAAATTTCTAAATTTCAGAGTTGCTCAATTCCTTAACAAATGCCAGTGTGAGAGCGGAGGGTTTGCAGGAGGCCCAGGTCAACAAGCCCATCTGGCCCCTACCTATGCTGCTGTAAATGCTCTATGTATACTTGGCACTAAGGAGGCCTACCAGGTCATTGACAGGTATATTCACAATGTAATATATTAAATGGTCAACAGGCCCATCTGGCCTCCACCTATGCTACTGTAAATGATCTATGTATATTAGGCACCAAGGAGGCCTACCAGGTCATTGACAGGTATATTCACAATTCAATATATTAGAATTGCCTAATAATGTGGGTCAAATGCAAATAGTACATCCATTCACCAATATTCGTTTTGTTAGAATTATGCTTTGATTTCAGCGATTGTATATGTCTCCCTAAAAACTACAACTCATTTATAGAGTAAGTTTCTCAATTATGGTTGAATCTTGAATTTCCTTGTGTAGATACCATAAATGAGTATGTGAGAACTGTAGTGTATTAACTTATTATTCCAGGGCAAAATTATACAGCTATCTTATGGCTATGAGGAACTCAGTTGGAGCTTTCAAGATGCATGAAGGAGGTGAAGTTGATATAAGGTACTTGTACTGAATAGTACTTACTTGTACCGACTTGTACTGAATTGTTTATAATGTCTATAAAACAGACTAAGTTTCTGATGATTCCTTTTCCCTCAAACTAATTCGCCAATGCACAGAAGAACTGTGTCAGAATCCCATCCCCTAAGTCAGCAGCGTAACCAGGATTTTGATAGACGGTACACGATGCTGAGGACCGAGCAAAACTATTTTGCTTTAATTTTTATGTTGGTGGTTCGAGGTTGGCGTCCGGCGTCTGTAACAATTTCTTACAACTTCCTATAAACTATAAACAAATACTGTTTAGACTGACTTCAATTTTTTTCTAAATCATCTACATGTTCTCAGAAGTTCAAATCTGACTTTAGATTTGACATTTGACCTTCAATGACCTTCTCAAGGTCAAAAAGGTCTTTTTTCAACTTGCTTCACATTGACTAAATTTTTTTTCAAAATCATCTACATGTTCTCAGAAATTCAAATCTGACTTTAGATTTGACATTTGACCTTCAAATCTGACTTTAGATTTGACATTTGACCTTCAATGACCTTCTCAAGGTCAAAAAAGGTCAAAAAGGTCTGTTTTCAACTTGCTTTAAATTGACTATTTTTTTTTTCAAAATCATCTACGTGTTCTCAGAAATTCAAATCTGACTTAAGATCTGACTTAAGATTTGACATTTGACCTTCAATGACCTTCTCAAGGTCAAAAAAGGTCAAAAAGGTCTGTTTTGAACTTGCTTCAAATTGACTAAAAAATTTTTTCAAAATCATCTATGTGTTCTCAGGAATTCAAATCTGACTTTAGATTTGACTTAAGATTTGACATTTGACCTTCAATGACCTTCTCAAAGTCAAAAAAGGTCAAAAAGGTCTTTTTTCAACTTGCTTCAAATTGACTAAATTTTTTTTTCAAAATCATCTACATGTTCTCAGAAATTCAAATCTGACTTTAGATTTGACATTTGACCTTCAATGACCTTCTCAATGTCAAAAAAGGTCAAAAAGGTATTTTTTCATCTTGCTTCAAATTTACTTAATTTTTTTTTCAAAATCATCTACATGTTCTCAGAAATTCAAATATGACTTTAGATTTGACTTTAGATTTGACATTTGACCTTCAATGACCTTCTCAAGGTCAAAAAAGGTCAAAAAGGTCTTTTTTCAACTTGCTTCAAATTGACTAATTTTTTTTTTCAAAATCATCTACATGTTCTCAGAAATTCAAATCTGACTTTAGATTTGACATTTGACCTTTAATGACCTTCTCAAGGTCAAAAAAGGTCAAAAAGGTCTGTTTTCAACTTGCTTCAAATTGACCAAATTTTTTTTTCAAAATCATCTACATCTTTTCAGAAGTTCAAATTTGACTTTACAAGTTCTCAGAAGTTCAAATCTGACTTTAGATTTGACCTTTGACCTTCAATGACCTTCTCAAGGTCAAAAAGGTCTTTTTTCAACTTGCTTCAAATCTACTTAATTTTTTTTTCAAAACCATCTACATGTTCTCAGAAGTTCAAATCTGACTTTACATTTGACCTTCAATGACCTTCTCAATGTCAAAAAAAGTCAAAGAGGTATTTTTTCAACTTGCTTCAAATTGACGAATTTTTTTTCAAAATCATCTCCATGTTCTAAGAAGTTCAAATCAAACCTTCTTAAGGTCAAAAGGTATTTTCCAACTTGCTTTAAATTGACCAAATTGTTTTAGGTGGTGACATTTTGTCATGTTAATGCCTTGTCTTTTTTACAACAATTTATTTTTTGCTCCATCATTTAGGTTACACAACTGCGTACCCTCGAGCATGCCTGGTTAAGTGCCTGTTAGACAATACTGTATCTAATTCCCGACCCTCCCCACATTGGGGAGCCTCACACAAACCTTTATGTGTAAAATCGTTACCTATTTTAAAGTTATAGCAAAATAAAAAATGTGAATGTTTTTTTGCTCACTCTGTGTATTGTTTTTATACTCTTATATATGTATGTTTTCCAGGGGTGCATATTGTGCAGTTAGTGCTGCCAAGCTGACCCATATAGCCACTGAAGAACTGTTTGATAAAACACCCCAGTGGATCGTCAGGTAACTCACTGTCTTATTACTAAAATATTTTATCACCATGGTGATGCAATCTAGTGATATACCAGGTATAACACACAAAGTCTTGATTGTCATTGGTTTCACCAGAGCTATCCAACCCTTCTACCCTCTCCTATTTTCAGGCATTATAAAGGCATTCATATTGTACATGGATCAGGTAAACACTCAAACACTTACATTAGTTAAACAAAACATTTTTTGTTTCATTTTCTTGCCCTGTTACATCACCATGTTTTGCAGTTGTGCATACATATTTTCATTTGAATATATTATGTATCATTTCAGTTGCCAAACGTATGAAGGGGGCTTTGCTGGAAGCCAAGGTATTGAAGCACATGGAGGTTATTCATATTATTTATCATTTCAGTTGCCAAACTTATGAAGGGGGCTTTGCTGGAAGCCAAGGTATTGAAGCACATGGAGGTTATTCATTCTGTGGAATTGCAGCCCTGGTTTTGTTGAACCATCAAAGATTATGTGACACACAAAGCCTATTAGTAAGTTTTATCCATTTATATACTCTGAGGCCCAAACAATAGCAGTATAATTCCACACTCTGAGTGGGTCAAATGAATGACAATTTTGATGTGCTTTTAATCAATCAACACACAGTGAATGTCTGGTTTGGATAGGCTGCTGATAGTTAAATCTAATACCCAAAGAGAGTGTGTTGTTATTTTTGTCATACGAGTAAGTTAGATGAAAATTTCATATCTTAAGAGAATATACGAAAACCTCTTTTTGAAACTGCTATTTGGGGCAATACCATAAACTGTTTTCTTCTATAAATATCATCTATCTAGAATGTATAATTTCTGAAGTTGAACTGTGTTTTGGTTAAGTTTGTACATAAATTCCAGTACTCATGATTGTGAAGTATACATTGACTGTGCTGTATAGTGCGAAGTGTTATAGTAAAATGTAATGATACTAGCCGATGATTTCTTTGTGTACTTATAGAGATGGACAGTGAATAGGCAGATGAGCTATGAAGGAGGCTTCCAGGGGCGGACCAATAAATTGGTAGATGGCTGCTACTCATTCTGGCAAGGAGGAGCTTTCCCATTATTACATCTAGTACTTTCTGCGCAAGGTACAATGTCAGAACTTGTGCTTTGACTTTTTTAAACATCATAAAGGTTACTTAACTGGATTTAAGAGAAAATACTTGCAACTGGATATGCAAAAAGTGTCATTAAGTTCAGGAATTGAACCCGAAACCATCACATTCTACCACTTTGGCATGGTATTTAGATGGCTCAAGCAGATTTTTATACTATTAAAATGCAAATAGAAAAAACAATGCTTTGATCTCTTCTATGTAATCATTTGCCACCATGTTATTGATGTGTAGCTTTCTGTGACCCTTTGTTTTGAAATAAGATCCTCAAAATGTTTACATGGTGAATGTTATTTACATCCTGACAATTAGGTTTGCCATTCTGCCAATAATTAGGTAAACAGCTGCATGTAAAAGAATTAAGTAAACATACAAATGTAGTGATTGTTTCATTTGATTAACTTCTTTAGTGTGCATTATTATGAGAGAAAAATCTTGCTTGTTACAGATCCTGATGCCCTGAGCACTGAGTATTGGCTCTTCAATCAAGGTATGTAAAATTCTTGCCTTTAAAATAATGAAGACATATTTTATAAAGTTGTTTGCCATAAATAATACATTTATTCATTCAGCTGGAACAAAATTGTAAAAGAATATTCCTCTAAGTTAGTTTACTTTCATTTTGATATCAAATTTTCGTGACACTTTTTTGACACATGTTAATTATTAATGCTATATAATTGAATATGTATGCTATCTAAGATAAAATCCAGAAGTACCCTTCATCAGATAAGTCTTATTTGGCATGAGGCCAATGATGTCATTTTCTAAAGTCAACTTCAAAAAGATCCCCAAATCTGTCACGGACCAAGGTCTATATATGCCATCCTCTTCCTTAACAAGGTGTCGGAGTAAATCACCTTTATGGCTGATAAGGCTTACTCTATGGTTACCCCAATCAGCTACAATAATGTTATTTCCCTCTGTGCATACTCCATGTGGAGCGTCCAGCTTGCTTTCACTCGGGCCATCATTCCCATACTGCATCTGTAAATTGCCATCTCTATTAACCACTTGGATTCTATCAAGCTTCCAATCAGATACAGCAATATTATCATTTGCATCCACAGCAATATGCTGAGGGTATCCAAATTTTGCATTGCCTTCAGTACATGCTATCTTCCTCCCATTCTGATAATCAAGATGGAATATAGATTTAGTTTCTATGTCACTTACCACAAACTCTTTTTTAGTATTAAAGGCAATTGCGCATAGCCTTTTGCAGGGTGTTTTGATATCACGCAAATGGTTTCCATCCAAGTCATAAATGCTGATTGTATCCATGCCAACTTTAGCAAAAGCAAGGTTATTGTCGCATATTTTTGTTCCTCTGTATTCTCCTTGAATAGTGTTGATCAGAAAAGAATCTTCGTAGAATTGGATGCAATTTGGTCTGACGGCAACAAGTTTTGAGGTATTTATTACAATCAAGTCATTGGTCCATTGGTTGGTACCTTCTATTTTTTGAAGTTTTTGAATTGTTTTTTGATCTTGGGGTCTGGTGTGATACACTTGGCATTTTATCAATATGTCCATTAATTTGTTCACTAAAAAGCTTGTCCTTAGATCCTGAGGTCCTATGATCGTAATATCCCAAATCTCTCGACAGACAGGACATGGTATTTGTTTTGCTGGCTTTTTCTTTTCAACTAATGCTTTTAAGCAAGTTAAACAGAATGAATGCTGGCATTGTAGTACTTTTGGATCTTCTAATGTTTTGAGACATATCTTGCATTCCAAAATGTCACTAAAGTCATCAAATTTAATATTATTATGAGATGATGCCATTATAATTAAATTTTCTGTTAATGTACATTCCTTTTAAGAGGCGAAGGCTTTTCTAAAAATCTGTTTTGCTTTCGTTTTAAACATTTGTGACTCATTGAAAATAGTTGATTACCCGACTGAACAAAATTTGATAGGGATATAGAGAAGCTGTACATCCGTCCATCTGTTCGTTTATTCATTTGTTCATCTGTCTCGATCTAGCAAATCAAATACTGGTTGTTGCCTTGTGGGCATAGGACCTCTGCTCGAGAAGTAGTTTTCAATATGGCCGCTCAATTAAAAATGACAAGCAATTTTTGTAAACAGTGTAATCATTGATGAATTACATGCTAGTAAATGGATTAAATATTTGCTGATGCCTTATGGATATAGGACTCTGATCAATAAGGAATTTTCAAGTTGGCTGCTCATTTTGAAATAGCCACTTTGGTCAAAATTGTCATAGGCTTATGTCATATGGGCAAAAGACCTCTGGAAACAATTTCCAATATGGGCATTTAATTCAAAATGGGTCCCATCTTTTCTAACAACATGCCTTAAGGACATGGGACATGCTCAAGAGGGAATTTCCAAGATGGCTACTGGATTCAAAATGGAGTCCTTATTTCGTAAAATACGGAGTTTGAGAATGAATTTATAATATAGTGTTACGTCACATCATGTGTGTAGATTTTGCCTTGTGCTTTTTTCTCTTGAAACCCCATGTTTTTGAAAAAAGGAGACAGTACTATTTTTCTCCTTCCTGGTTATTTCTGTCATGTTATATTCAACATGTAGATTGATTTGATAGAATAGGTTTTGTTTGGTGGGATTTCCTACACTGAGAAGTTGCTGTTATCCTTGTGGGATTATTAATACTTTCCCTCAGTAAAAAGTTAACTGGTTAAGTTGAGCAAATATTGTGCAAGTGTCAGATACTTCCCACACAAGAAATTAAATGCCATTAAAATGCTGTGTCTAAATTCAAACAGTCATGTCTACAGGCATTGGTTCAAAGTTCAAAATGTCAATTGTATATCTTGATAGTCAATATCTTTCAAAAAGCAATGTCACTCTGTACCTTACTTTTAATATCTGAAAAAGACTGGGATACCCAAATATAGAATTATTTGAAGATCTAAGATGCAGATATGTCCAAACATATTGTATGATAAAGACTGATAATGACAATGACTGATCTATATTATAATAGTGATAACACTTTGTATGTGGATCTCCCTTGGTTGCAGTTTATTTGTTCCATTTCAGAGATTTCTACTTACAGACTGTTTTTGACTGAATTTGACTGAATTTTCAATGTAGATGCAATTTAAGTTTCTTATATGTTTCAGAAGCCCTCCAGAAATACATTCTTGTATGCTGCCAGCACCATGGAGGTGGTCTCATTGACAAGCCAGGGAAGTAAGTACATTATTAATTTCGGTTTTGGTTTTGTAAACTTATACTCAAATTGAAATGAAATTTTAAACAAATGAATATTGTGGTTTGTATTGAGGGTAGATGAATTTGCAGTTTAGTCCTCTTATCTAGAATTAAACTCAGGAGCTTATATCCCATAAAACATGTTTCTAATTAATAATTCTCATGATAATCAACATGCATCTTTAATAGACTTTGTTTTGATTAATATAAAAAGTGTTTGATGCTATTGCCTACATGCACATGTGATCTTAAATGAAGGAAAGTAGTCTCCCATGATGCCTCGTGGCAAAGGAGGTCTTCTTAATGCTTAGTCCAACACTTTTGAAGCATTGGATTGTTTGTAAATAATATCTGGCCATTCCTGTTTGATTAAATATATATTCATGTTGGCACAAGCCTGCACTTGCATGTACATGTATACTTTACATAGTTCGTACAATAACATATACTACTGTAGTATAACACTAAACATTTTTTGGTATCCAAAATTTTATTTATGAGCAAAATCCAATTTTTCAATTTTTCCATAGTGGGCATATATATTATATCAGCCAGGATGTAAAGCTATATTATATACTGCCCACTTGTGAAAATACAACATTTTACAAACCTGATTTATATACAATAAGCAAATCCAAGTGTGGGATAAACAGTTATACATGATTTGATTGAAAGGAGGGGGAGTTGTTTGTCGGATGAAAAGGGAGAGTTTTTTCATGCATTTCGTTTATGTCTTTCATCTAAAAAATATCAATACACTTTAAAACATTTTTTGACTATAAGATTGCACCATATAATCCCAAAAATATTTCTCATTTTCAAGGATCATCTATGGATTAACACCAAGGTATTTTTAATTTTCAAACTTCAGAAGGCTGGGAATCATTGATAATCAACACTTTTGAATAATAAAAAAGCTGTTTTAAATAGGTTTCATATATGCCAATAATTTCTCAAATTGTGTATACTGTACACATTCCTTAATCCCTAGAATTTTCTCATTGAGGAATTTCCCATAGAAATCCAATGGTACAGTTTCAAGCAGATTTTGATTCATTCGACAAACAACTCCCCCTCCTTAACAGAAGTGTACTGTACCAATATATACACATTTTATTTGAAAATCTCAGTAAATGATTTGCTAAAGTTACAAATATATTTTGCATTATCTTATTCCATAATCACAAAAAGTAAAAATAGAAGTTTGTTATTATTTTTACAGTACATATAAATGGCATCAACATCCAGTATGATGTTTCATGTCATTAAAGCAGAACAGAACTCAACATAATGGAAAACATGCACAATCCAGGGCAGTGATCTCAACAGGATTTTTTCTCAAGTGGGTGCAAAATTATCATTTTCACAATTCAGACCAAAATTGGTCGAAATTAGCCCATTTTTCATGATTTTTTTCATTTTCAAGTAGGTGCAAATCAATTTTCAGGTGGGTGCAAGCCTATTTTTAAAATCTCAGGTGGGTGCTGCGCCCACTTGCTTTAATGCTGGGGTGATCACTGGAGGGTATATAAAAATATACAAATTGAAAATTATTTTTTGATAAATCATAAAATAATTAAATAGTTTTTTTTTTCATTTTGAATATATATCATGGTAGAAATAAGCATCTTGTTTCATCAAGCTTCCGACCTGGGAACCGACGATGAGAAATAAGATGAAATGGTAAACCTTTTAAATCATTCTATAATCAGTGTATTTACAAGACGAATCAGTTATAGCTTGTTTGTATGTGTCTTAAATATGACACATTCACTATTCTATATTTTACATATAGTGCACTATATACGAGAAAGCAGTAATATAAAGAAATAGATTGAAGACCTTTTGTACGTTCAGCTCCTTATTTTTAAAATACCCGGTACATCAACATTTTATGTCAATATCTCCAAATACTACTTGCATACTCCCAGCTCTTCTGTGTTCTAAACATTTTTTATTTATTTATTACTTAACGTCTATACTCAACGGTGAATTTCAAAATGTTCGTAAAATACAATAATGCACAAATAGAATTACAGAGCTGATTCCATTCATTACAAACTGTTCAACTTGTTGCTTCACACAGTCACTACAAGTCTAGTAGAACTTGCCTGAGTATAAAATCATAATAAAACTGATCAATTAAAGTTGCAGCAAAGAATAGTGTAGAGTGTAAAACCCTTTAATGAAGCATCTCAATGTTTAGTTGCAATCTTAAGTTAATTTGGAAAAAATAATTATTTAGAGATTATTCTCAACTCGTCTCTTGTCTTTATTGCACCTTTAATCAATGATACAGTTATACTTTAGATTTTATGATTGATATTTTATGCAAAGAATACTGAACATTTAACACAATCTATCTGGGTGAAAGTGAAAGTACTTATTATTATATGTTGTCGAAAGCCATGAAGACTAATGGGGTATATCAGAGTACATTACATTTAAAGGGACAGCAAAGGTTGGGGAGTGTAAAATATTGGAAGCAATCACAAAACATGCCAATTTTCCTCTTACAATCCTTATTCATTTTCCAATGTAGTAATTGAAGATTTAAAATGTAAAAATGTCCAGATTCATTGTTCTTTGAGGAGTTGAGTCTCCCTCTTCATTTTTACCTTGATGACCTAAAAATCAATTATTATCCAGAAATAAAGACAGAATTGTATAACTTTTTGAAAATAGGCATGGCATGATTCATGTGAGTTAAATTATTATGAATTTAGTAAATGTCTATAGTCTTTGTTGCCGCTTTAAGTAATATCCTGTATAGTGAATAAGAGACCATTTTGCCTTAATGTAAATTGATGTGTTTATAGAAATGTCCACAGTCAATATGACTTCAAAATAATTTGTACTGGACTGTGTTTCATTTGATACAACCATGTACATGTACAACATTTGAAAATTAAATGAGTGCCAAAGTGAAATGAAACATACCTATTTTAAAGGGTTTTCTAGTTATATAGACAGGTTCCAATTCTAATAATTCAAGTTTTTGAGGCATTTTTTAGAAAAAGCAACAGACCTATTTTTACTCGATCAGTTTTTCAAGCTGATAAAGATATTAAAAGATGACAGCTCAACGGGGTGGTCGTGACACTGAATTTTGGCATGTTTACCCCCCTAGGAAAATATTCTAGGGGGTACTATGAAACTAGTTCATAACTCAAAGGATATATGAGCTATTGTTCTGAGTTGTAGACCATACATTGCTAGTACATATATGAATACTAGGGGTTGATACCCTTATTGGTCTCAGAAAAATACAATAAACAGGAAAAAGATACGCAATTTTTGTCTTGCCAATTTTATATTTGTAGCTTCAAGCAAAATATGACAGCTTTAACAGCTCATAGTAGTATTCTAAAAACATTTCCAGGCTATATGGGGTATTGTAATACATCTATTTTAGTTATGAAGTACTATTTTGTAATTTTAATATGACTTTATAGTGCCCTACCCCTGGAAAATTGAAGAAAGTGGATGTGGTGAAATTAATCATTTTGCAGCATTAAGTTAGAAACATGTATTGATAGACACCAAATCAATAAATTCATACCATCATCAAATGTTAGGTGACATTCTAATTCATTTATTACTAGAATATAGGACTTAAGATATTTTATATGTAAGTTTTCAATTTAGTACATGTATCATAATGAAATCTAGTGTAATCACATACTAGAGAGGACATTGACATAAAGTCTAAACATTATAATCATCAATTGATCTCATTTGAGCAACTAGACTATGGTGGTCATCATGCACAAGTAATGTACTACAGTGCCCCATGTACTAGGGCACGAGTCATTTGAGCCATATATACCTAGTCCTGGTATATACCTTTACAACCCATTCAGAAGGGTCATTTACAATGTGCAAAACATGGCAAAAGTTCCCTAAAACTGTTAGTTCTCATCATCTGACCATATAGCAGAGTCCTCATTAAGCCATGATGCATCACAGCCAGATGTTAGAAAAGTAGCTAAGAATCTTTTTTATTAACCAAAGATGACTTTCCCACCGATGTTGCATCACACTGTACTGTCAACTGTACATGTTGCTTTCAATTTTGTTTACTCTACATAGATCTGATTCTGCATTTAAATACCAAGACTTCAGTTTACTTTAACTGTCATGACTAAAGCATTTGATAGTATTTACATAATAATGTTATAAAGGAGCATGTAGGTTATCGCAAACAACTTCAGACAATGGTCCTTTTTCCATATAGCTTTGAAATCTCGCTAAGGTCTTGTTTTTAATGCGATTTTAGGAGATCTGCATTTTTAACCATTAAAAACTAATGTTTTCTTCCATCTGATGGCATATTTGAATTCTGTGAGTAATTCTCTATCAAAACAACTTTGATATGCACTGTAATTTACCATTATTCAAATTCTAATGATTTACTGGTTGTCTAAAAAAGGTCAGGCTAAATCCCCATTGACACAATGCTGAAAACCCTTAAAAAGTTCATTTAATCTTCCAAGGATCACGATTTTAATGTGAAATCACAATCCACATGTCAATAAGATCATAAAGTTACATTCCAATGATGTTTTAAGTTGATCCAAATGGAATTACTTCTTAAATCAAGAAATTAAGTGACTCTGGCAATACATTTACATGTATTCTAGCCCTACCCAAGCTCTACCAATACCCACGATGCCATCTATTTTTCATTTATATGGAAAAAGGTCAATTCTAACTTGAATTATGAATATTTTCTGACCATGAACATAGGTATATCTTTTAGATCTATTCATTATCTTCAAGAAAAGTAAATATAATGATTAATCAGACCTAAGTGATATTAAAGGGAATGGCCCAATCAACATACTTTTTACTAAAAATGATGACCTAGTTTATACCAAAGATGCAACCTTTAATTATATTGTTGAATGCATAATTAGAATATGCTTTAAGACATGTTCTATTTCCTGAGAAGAAAAGTGGATTGCTCCAGGGACTTTAAAGACACTGAATTTGGATGACCAAAATGAACTGAAACCAATGGATAGCATGAATTTTTTCAAAGGGGAAATAACATGGGGAACACTAATCTTAGGGGAATTCAGTTTTCGTTTCAAGAGCTATTTGATATATTAAAATAAAGAATAGTAATGCATTAAACATTGTTAAAATGATTGCATTTTTGGTGAAAATGAGGTCAACAACTTTGAAAAAATATATTGATGGGTTGATTGCTAGTGAAATATCTCAAAGTCTGATTGACTTTATTATCCCTGTATACCTGTCTTCATGGTCAGGAAATAGTCATAATCAAAGATATAACTGTCTGAAATTGTTTGTGATAACTTACCTGAACATTTGCAGGTCAAATCAGGAGTGACACAATTTATTTCCACCAAATTTTTGACATGTCTTCAAATATATGATAGTATTTTCTTCATAAGATAGAGTGTCACTTGTGAAATTTATTGATTGACCTGAGATCGTATCATATCTTTATGACATAGATGCGAAATAGCCATATTGAACTTTAATGAATGTTGTTTGCCACTTTTCGACAATTTCGTCAAAATTTGGGGGTTTTGGGGGAGGGGTACAATTAAGTAAAAAATTCACCTGATTCAGACTATCCTTAAATGAGCACTGATTCACCCGAGAGCATAACTTTTCCAAAACATGTTAGTGTTATTTTTGGACCACTCACATTAATGTTTCGTCTAATTTTCCCTCAGAGTTTCCTTATCATTGTCTTAGGCCATATTTGTTGAGATATATGAATGTTCATTATTAAAATCTTGCCTTCCTTTGCAGTTGGAGAAGACTCGGCATTAGGTGTTATAAGTCCCAGACCACGATAAATAAAAAATAACAACACAATGACATAGAACTGATAAACGTTTTCTCTTGTGCGTGTCAGCCATGGTCTACCAAATTAATTGCTATTCAGTGGGAAGAAACTCATTTTTCAGTTTCCATTTTAATTTCCTGACAAATAGAGCGATCATCCCAGCATTTTTTCTATGATCTATATATTTATGTGCCTTAGCAACTTCTGTTTTAGAGAACAATAAAACAATAGAAAAGATTACTTTACAATAATTCTAATCATCCCACATTGTAGACATATTTAGAATTAAAAATATGAAGAGAATGACAAAACCTCTTAAAACACATTTCTTAGGAAACAAATAGTGTGGTATTCTTGTTACTATGGCAACAGAGTTTTTTCTTTTTGTCATTTTTGTCATACAGATTACCTATCATACCAGGACCAAATCCTGAAAATTTGAATTCAGTATCTTCATTAGTATCTTAGATATATAGGTTTCTTATAGTATCCCCTGCAGATTTCATCGGAGTATAAGGAAAATGCTCTGAAGAGGGATGCCCAAGGATGCCACTTAACAGTTCTGGTATTTTTGAGGTCCCAACCCTCTATTCATGGGAATAGTTAACCATTGTAAAGCTACTCATGGTTAACTGACAGAATTGATTGTATCTTCAACTAAGAAGTCAATAAAATGTTAAAACGAGAAGAAAACCACACCAACTTTCTTCTATTTACCAGGGGTAGGGCATTATAAAGTCATATTAAAATTACAAAATAGTACTTCATCACTATAATAGATGTATTACAATATCAAACATAACTTGGGAATGTTGTTATAATACTAGTTGAGCTGTTAAAGTTATCATATTTTGCTTGAAGCTACAAATATAAAATAAGCAAGAAAAAAATGACAAAAATTGCATATTTTTTCTAATTAATTGTATTTTTCCGAAACCAACAAAGATATCAACCTATGACTTTAGGATAGTATTCATCTCTGTACTAACAATGTATGCTGTAGAACTCAGAACAATAGTTTATATATCCTTTGAGTTATGAACTAATATTATAGTACCCCCTAAGATAATTTCCTAGGGGGGTAAAAACGCTAAAATACAGTGTCGTGACCACCCCGTTGAGCTGTCATCTTTTAATATCTTTATCAGCATGAAAAACTGATCCAGAAAAAATAGGTCTGTTGCTTTTTCTAAAAAATGCCTCAAAAAGTTTTTCCCTTGAGATATTCTGAAATTGGAACCTGTCTAATAGATTGATTACCTCACTTAAGAATATCCACTTTGTCATTGTTACTAAAGATTTTTTCTCAATGATATCAATGTTTCTAGTTGACTAGGAAAATGGAATAATGGAGGGGGATATGAGATTGAAATAAATAAAATACTTCATCAAGTATGAGAAATCATCATGCATCATGTTCAAAGTCCAATGAATCAGAAAATTAAACATGGTGGGTTCAAATATAAGAAGAGAGTTGTTTCACTCTGTAGGATAGTTAACTCAACTCCTGAAGAGGTACCAATATGTAATCTGTATTTTCAAATACACATTAAAATGTACAAGATGATGACAGCATTCAGTCCCCCCTCCGATTAAATCATTTTACAAAAGGGGTAAAGAACTGATGATGCTCAGCTATAAGCCAATCCTTCAAATAACAATAACCTGCACTTCCCTCATTAACTATTTCCACTGTAGATATAACCAGGCTTTAACACCCATTGTGGTGTTACAGATCATTTTAAAACAGAACAAAAGTCAACACAATGCAACATACATCATCCAGGTTACTTGTATATATAAAAGAAAACAATTCAGAAGATATTCTTCAACAATTCAGTTTGTTTAATGTTTATTGTTGTTGAATCTTGCTGTTTGTGATTTTAAGTGCAATTATCTAAAATATATTTAAGAGATGTGTGGATAATGATCTTGATGTTTGCAAATATGTTCATGATTGTAAATAAATGTCATGTTTAATATTTGTATTTTACTTCAAAGAGTTGTCCTCTGAAATCTCCTACTAGAAGATTCCCCTCATGATCTATAGTCACTGCCATTGGGTGATACAGTCCATCATCCTTAGTGAAGAGGTGTTGTAGGAAGTTACCCTCTGAGCTGATTAAACTGACTCTATCATTCAAGAAATCAGCTACTATGATGTGCTCTCCATCAGTGCACATACCTTCTGGCCAATTCAACTCTCCTTCACCTGATCCATGAGTACCATACTGCAGCAGCTTCCTACCCTGTCTACTCACCACTGTAATACAGTTCCTCTGCCAATCAGACACAATCACATTGTTGTTGTTACTTACTGCAATGTACCGAGGCCAACCAAACAACTGAGTATCTGATGTTGTATGCAGTACTTCACCAGTGTGATAGTTTATGTGTGATATAGTCTTGGTATTCAAGTCACTTACAACTAATTTACCATCACTATTACATGCAATCCCATATAGATTAGTGAATGTTGTGGTGATGTCTCTTTCATGCTGACCATCTTGAGTGTATATGTTGATGACACCACTACCACCACCACCACTCCACCATCCACTTGTAAATGCAAGATAGTTATCAGGTGTAAGTGTGACACATCTCATCTCCTTCTGTATTGTCTTGAACAGATTCAAGTTATGGTAGATTTCAACACATTCATATCTTATGATTACTAACCTCTGTGCATCTATTGCTACAACATCATTAATACTGTTAAGAAAAGACTGTTTGGATCCTTTTAAATCAATCTTCTTTATTTTGGGTTTTCTTAGCCTCATTGACCCAGGAATTCTCTGTGTAGAATAGAAACCAGTTAGAGAACTAACAGGAGGAACTGATGTGCTGTTAATTGATGTAGCTACCTGGGAGATATTACCTTGACTTGTCACACTTTGATTTTTTCTATTTATTTGACGACTCTGATTATCTAGTCTTGTCTGACTGCTTATTATACTCTCACTATAACCCATTGCACTCTGATGGCATTTTGCAACCTGATCATTATTTCTGCTCTGATTAGCTGTTCTCTCCTGAGCATCTATCATTCTTTGATTACTCATTCTTGCCTGATCACCCATTCTACCCTGACCACTCATTCTGTTCTGACCACTCATTATACTTTCTCCTCCTGAAATAAGCTCATCGGGCATTCTTCTTTGATTGCCAGTTCTCCCCTGATCATCCATTATATTCTTCCCTCCCATTGCAATCCAATCACTAGTTCTCTGGTCTACCATTATATTCTGCCTTCTTGTTGCATACTGATCGCCTATTCTCCACTGGTCACCTATTGTGTTCTGCCTTCCCAATGCAGACTGATCACCCATTATCCTTTGGTCACCCATTATATTCTGCCTCCCCATTGCAGACTGATCACCTATAATCCTTTGGTCACCCATTATATTCTGCCTTCCCATTGCAGACTGATCAACCATAACCCCTTGGCCACCCATTGTATTCTGCCTTTCCAATGCAGACTGATTACCCATTATTCTTTGGTCACCCATTATATTCTGCCTTCCCATTGCAGACTGATCACCCATTGTCCTTTGGTCACCCATTATGTTCTGCCTTCCCATTGATGACTGATCACCAGTTATCCCCTGGCCACCCATTGTATTCTGCTCTCTCCTTGCACCTTGTCTACTTTCTATATTCTGACCAATCATTCCACTCTGATTACCAATTACTGATTGGTAGTTCCCTGCATTTTGAATTTTGCGTTTACCTAGCAACATTCTTAGATTTTGATTTTTATCTTTTTTAGGTTGAATTGATCTGTGTATGTGGCCATCAATGTTAAGGTCTTGTTTATTTGATGGACATTGAACAGTTGTTTCACTATGGGCACTTGGGGGAATATCATAAGCCATTGGATTTTGAACACTCATATTACTTTGGACACTCAGTGGATTTTCATAAGTCATTGGACTTTGAACACTCATATCACTTTGGACACTCGGTGGATTTTCATAAGTCATTGGACTTTGAACACTCATATCACTTTGGACACTCGGTGGATTTTCATAAGTCATTGGACTTTGAACACTCATATCACTTAGGACACTCGGTGGATTTTCATAAGCCATTGGACTTTGAACACTCATATCACTAAGGACACTAGGCGGGTTTTCATAAGTCATTGGACTTTGAACACTCATATCACTAATGACACTCGGCGGATTTTCATAAGTCATTGGACTTTGAACACTCATATCACTTAGGACACTCGGCGGATTTTCATAAGTCATTGGACTTTGAACACTCATATCACTAAGGACACTGGGAGGGTTTTCATAAGTCATTGGACTTTGAACACTCATATCACTAATGACACTCTGCGGATTTTCATAAGTCATTGGACTTTGAACACTCATATCACTAAAGACACTTGGTGGATTTTCATAAATCATTGGACTTTGAACACTCATATCACTAAGGACACTCGGCGGATTTTCATTAGTCATTTGACTTTGAACATTCATATCACTAAGGACACTCGGTGGATTTTCATAAGTAACTGAGCTTTGAACATTTACATCACTTGTTGAACTACTTATATCTGGGTTTGATTGGGGCCCAAGTACCTCTTGGTCTAAACTTGCTGATCCCCTATTATTGGAACTTCTGCTTTGACTCCCTGAAGGAGTCTGTTGATCAAGATTTGGAATCTCATGTCCTTTTAATCTTATACAATCTTTAAGTAGTTCAATGTTGTTACCTTTGTCTTTATGGGCCTCAAGTCCAGTCAAAGCTCGGTCCCAAAATGTAACCATGTTGACATCTTCTGCATCCCTTTGTCCAATATATATGCCACGGCTACGTTGTACCTCAGCTATTCTACTCCTTGCTATATAGTTCCGAATTTTAGCACTCAACTGATTGTACATATGCCCTGCAGCAACATCAATGTCATATATCATATGTTCTTTGTGGTGAAGACTAAGGCATGTATTACATATGATGCTATCATCAGCTTCACAATACATTGTTAAAGGTTTATCAGGGTGATTGTCACAGTAAGCACATACTTTTAAGTCCTTTAACTTGTTGCTTCGGAAGTCAGCCTTGAGACTAGCTGCCCCATCTGGAGGTACCTGCCATTCTTCACGACAAGTTGGACATGGGATTTTGGTACTCCCTGAGTTGCTCAATATTAATCCTTCTACACAATGCTTACAGAAAGAGTGATGGCATGGCAGGAAACGGGGATTGGTGAGCTCTCCAAGGCATATCTTACACTCTAAAAGGTCTTCTTTGATTGAAGCGGATGCCATATCTTATGTTATTCGAGCTGTCTTTGTTAGTATGTACTTTATTATAACAGCTTTAGTCCTTTGACACATTTACATTATTTGTAACAATAAACTGTTTATTGTCTATCCTCTGTCTGTCAAGTGACCTGGTTCTTTCACATTTCACAAGTCAAATTCTTGTTCATTTTCTCTGACATTCATGTTTCCTCATTGTCTGTTTTACTATTTAATATTTTTCATCTTCATGAATTTACACAGAAATATTTTTCATATTTTACGTCTATATCTAAGACTTGGTTTTCACTCTTATACCCTTCAATGTCTTTTGCTGTGGTTTGTTTCGGGTAAATGGCACAGTTTCTGCAGTCATACAACCTAAAAGTATGAAAGAGAAATGTTTAAAAGGCTGTTTGTTTCTACTCATTTATATTATAATATACTCGTCCAGGTAGAAACAAAAATGAAACTGAACTGATCTTTCTTATAAGAATATTTGTTCATTTAATTAATATTTAACACATACTCCAAAATCCATCCAATTCAAAAATCAATACTAAGTTTATGTACACGAGAATTTAGATTATCTCATGCTCTTGTCATTTAACAATCAAAACCTAAAAACCATACTAACCAAAACTAGAAAATAACAATAAAACTCCTGACAGTTCCTTGTATGACACAGTCATACAATAAAAAGTACTTATGGGAGATATATCTTTATAATCTATCAACACTTACCTATTTTAGGTGTGCAAATCCTTGTGTTTGTAATGGACGTTTATTTTAAAATGAAAGATCTGTTTGAGATCATGTATTGTTTTAAAGATGTTTAAGAAGTCAAGGTAATGGCAAAGTGGTGTGATAAATACAATCTTGTCAATTATTATACCTAAAAATATCTGTTAAGATGTGTTAAGATTACCCAAGTACATATTGATCATACTTGAATAAGCTCAAAGGGCAACATTGCAGAAGAACAAAAGTGGTTATCGTGAATTTTGCATTTATGATTGTTTTTTTTGTAAACGTTTTTGTAAAAATTCCAGGATAGTCACCTGTTCAACTTGAAATTTTCACAGTTGCAAAAGCAGACAATTGCCAAGATCTGATTAAGGCATATGGGTAAATTACTTGCTGACTGGGCATTTTGATTTTAGGAAAAACACTTATCAGATTTTCTCCAAACTCACACACATGATGGAGGATATCAAGTTCTAGAGCTGATAAGCTTTTGGGTGGCCATCTTGTTTTCTGGAGGCCATTTTGAAGGTTTTACGATGGTGTGATCTCATTCATGTCATTTGCCTTGTTAAACATTGATAATGATATAAATAGAACCCCTCTTTTCTTTTATAATATTATTTCCAAAGTTTAAAAAATTGCTTAGAAAGTGGTTTGATTACCTCCTTAACTGAAAAAGTGTGAGTATTTAAATTCAATTTGTAACTTTTCATGATGCTTACCTGGTGTGTAATCTTTTTAACTTTGATATTTTCTTAGAATGATTGTGCCGAAGTATATTAATGGTGCATGTTACAGATCATTAAGAATTTAAACATGTTTGGGTTATTTAGGACAAAAATTTCAGACATTGTCATTTAAGTCTACTGTACTTATAACGTCTGTGAATATATCTTCCAGACCCAGGGACTACTACCACACCTGCTACTGTCTTAGTGGTCTGTCTGTGGCTCAACACTTCATGTCTTGTAACATTTGTATATGTATATTCCAGATCCAGGGACTACTACCACACCTGCTACTGTCTTAGTGGTCTGTCTGTGGCTCAACACTTCATGTCTTGTAACATTTGTATATGTATATTCCAGACCCAGGGACTACTACCACACCTGCTACTGTCTTAGTGGTCTGCCTGTGGCTCAACACTTCATGTCTTGTAACATTTGTATATGTATATTCTATACCCAGGGACTACTGCCACACCTGCTACTGTTTCAGTGGTCTGCCTGTGGCTCAACACTTCATGTCTTGTAACATTTGTATATGTATATTCCAGACCCAGGGACTACTACCACACCTGCTACTGTCTTAGTGGTCTGCCTGTGGCTCAACACTTCATGTCTTGTAACATTTGTATATATATATTCCATACCCAGGGACTACTGCCACACCTGCTACTGTTTCAGTGGTCTGCCTGTGGCTCAACACTTCATGTCTTGTAACATTTGTATATGTATATTCCATACCCAGGGACTACTGCCTCACCTGCTACTGTTTCAGTGGTCTGCCTGTGGCTCAACACTTCATGTCTTGTAACATTTGTATATGTATATTCCAGACCCAGGGTCTACTACCACACCTGCTACTGTCTTAGTGGTCTGCCTGTGGCTCAACACTTCATGTCTTGTAACATTTGTATATGTATATTCCATACCCAGGGACTACTGCCACACCTGCCACTGTTTCAGTGGTCTGCCTGTGGCTCAACACTTCATGTCTTGTAACATTTGTATATGTATATTCCAGACCCAGGGACTACTACCACACCTGCCACTGTTTCAGTGGTCTGCCTGTGGCTCAACACTTCATGTCTTGTAACATTTGTATATGTATATTCCAATCCCAGGGACTACTACCACACCTGCTACTGTCTTAGTGGTCTGTCTGTGGCTCAACACTTCATGTCTTGTAACATTTGAATGTGTATATTCCAGACCCAGGGACTACTACAACACCTACTACTGTCTCAGTGGTCTGTCTGTGGCTCAACACTTCATGTCTTGTTACATTTGAATGTGTATATTCCAGACCCAGGGACTACTACCACACCCGCTACTGTCTTAGTGGTCTGTCTGTGGCTCAACACTACATGTCTTGTAACATTTGAATGTGTATATTCCAGACCCAGGGACTACTACCACACCTGCCACTGTTTCAGTGGTCTGCCTGTGGCTCAACACTTCATGTCTTGTAACATTTGTATATGTATATTCCAATCCCAGGGACTACTACCACACCTGCTACTGTCTTAGTGGTCTGTCTGTGGCTCAACACTTCATGTCTTGTAACATTTGTATATGTATATTCCAGACCCAGGGACTACTACCACACCTGCTACTGTCTTAGTGGTCTGTCTGTGGCTCAACACTTCATGTCTTGTAACATTTGTATATGTATATTCCAGACCCAGGGACTACTACCACACTTGCTACTGTCTCAGTGGTCTGCCTGTGGCTCAACACTTCATGTCTTGTAACATTTGTATATGTATATTCCAGACCCAGGGACTACTACCACACTTGCTACTGTCTCAGTGGTCTGTCGGTGGCCCAACACTTCATGTCTTGCAACAACTTAACTAGTAAAACTATCATAGGGGATCCAGACAATGAATTGGTAAGATGAAACATAATATTTAAAGACTGAGAATCTAGAAATGACCATAAATGGTTCATCTATATTTACGTCTGTACACATTTCCCATTATATTTTTAAAAATTTAAGCCCAAGACTCAATGATACTTTGAATGAGAGTGACAGCATGAGTTCAAAGTCTAGGATAAAAAACAGTGCAATATATTGTCACATGGTAAGATTTTTTCACACATTGCAAGATTTTCTTCAGTATCAAGTAAAAGAATGCATTGATTTGTGAGGGAACCTTTTTGCAAGGGTTTTCAAGGTTTCACCTTTTGACATTTTTTTACCAGCATAAGCTCATGTCTTGCTATTACATTCTTTATGATAGATTTTATAGGTTTTCTCTCAAATGCCAATTTTACTGAATCTAAGGTAGCCATTGATGATGTAATCTCATTAAGAAAACCTATATATGAAATACATTGTTGTGATTGGCTGGAATTTGGTATATCCTGCCAAGCTACGTGTGACTATTTTTTGAGTATATGTATGGTCACAAAGTTTGACCATACATAACAAAAGATGGAATCTAAAATATCACTTTCTGCGACTAGATTCCATATTTTCAAACATTGACTTTTCCGTTTTCCAGGTAGAAACACACCCAGCCTACAACATTGGTCTTGAAGCTGCTCTGAAGGCTGGCCAGTATTTCAATGGACTACCTCATCCTCTAGCTCCAGAACATAGGCCCTTAGTGACTGAAATAGACCCTTAGTAACTGAAATAGACCCTTAGTAACTCAGCTAGCCACATTAGTTATTCAATAAGACCCTTAGTTAATGATCTAGACTCATTACATTGTAGTTACTCAACTTGACTTGGTTCCTTGACTGGAGCCCGAATTGTCATAAAATAAAATTCATTGGTACATAATTACATGTAAGACTCTGGACGAAGCATCTAATGTACTGTAATGGGGATCTGATCGGGACTGATGTAATTTTATATTCTAGGAGAGACTCATTGAGATACCAGGGTTCTGTACATATGGGATATTAATGTCTTGTCCACATACAAGGGTCCCACACAGTGAAACATGTGTATTGAAGGAACATTACAAGTAGAATTTTAAGCACTGTATGTCAAGCCAAAAGAAACCTTAGATATAGTTGTTTCATGATTCTGTATCAGCTTAACCTTTGTTGCTTTGCATTCCAATATAATAGAGATGCCAGTAGTGATAAATGTAATTTTAATTTAAGATTGTGATATTAATAATTCGTTATTTGATAATAATATCATTATATCATATTTGAGTTGCATAGTGGATATACAAACTTGCATTTAAAATGTGGTTTTAAAAATTATTTTTCCACTTCAATTTTTTTTATTACGGAACACATTTCAAATGATATTTAGTATCATAATGTAAGAGTAGATGTTCACTGAATCTTCTTTCAAGTATATAGGTATCTGAGACCATCATTTTTATGCTAGTCTCAGATAGGTATCTATATTGTCTACATGTTCAATGCAATGTTAAAAGAGATACCAAGTAGACTTAGTGGTGAAACTAGTGGAATCTACAGGGTGTCCATAGTCCTTTTATGATTACAATATAAAAAGACTATGAACACCCTGTATATCTAAATGTTGCAGTATTGCATAAAAACTGACTTTAACGATTTATCACTACCAGGAAGTGTTTATCCACTTTAAACTTTTTAATTCATTGAACAGAATCTACAGGATGTATCTTTATTATTGTTATGATGAATAATGGATGTTTGAAGAATAATCATAAAGAATTGTGTAACTATAAAATAAGGCTGAGAGACTTGTCATCTTATAAAAAAATATTTATTTTAGTGAGTGTGTTCAAATCCTTTTCCAGTTGTAAAACAACAGAAGAGACATTTCTTTGGGGGAATAAAAAGTCATATTTTGGAAATTGAGAACCACTTTTGTGATGAGAATATAGAGCATCAGAGATGTAATCGGGAGGATGTTGGTTTAATCCCCACCGAGGTGGAGTGACTTCATATCACATCACATCAAATGAAATAAATTTTGCAAAGGAAATTTTCAATTTTCTAAAATGTGATTTACCATGGACAGTAAAACAATAATCATTCATATTCATGTTGTAATGAATTAATGCCATGTTACTTGATATTGTCTTGTGAAGACTATAATTAAATGTTCTTAAATAAATAAACGATGTACATGTAATAACAACAAATCTCATGTAGCCTATTCTTCAGCCAGGTATTTTGCAGGGTATATTCTTTTTCATGACACTTCAAGTGCTATGTCATCATCCTGTGCTGCCCTGTGTGGGTACAGGCGGGTAAGTATACTACATAATTCTTGTCTTGTCATAAAAATTCCAGGAAAACTACTTATCTGTTGAACTTGAAATTTTTACAAATGAAAGAACATATTAGTGCCATGATTAGGTTTAAATGATGAGGTTTTGGCCATGTTGGGTGAATTACATTGTGGCTATTTTGTTTTTCAAGATTCCCGAAGACAGAAGTTACAATATGGTCAATACAACCCCACATTTTTATGAGTCCCTAATACCGACCTCATGCATACACACATTGCATGGAGAAACCCAGGTTACACACATTGCATGGAGAAACCCAGGTTACACAAAATGTCTAAAAGAAACTGCAGCTTCCTGAGCATATGTACCAAAACATTCAAATTGCAAATCAACCAATGACTTTTCTTGCGAAATGTATAGCTTATTGGTATGGGGGCTAAGTCAGGATATAGAAACAGGTGAAACAAAAATTCAGATAGACTGCATTTCAGTTTCAGTTGAAAAAATGTTTGCATTGATCCTGTTCTGTAAAATTTTCATGAGGCAATTGCCTCGTCTGCCTCATATTTGGCTATACCCATGCTTACGAAGTAAACACTGTTTCACTGGAGATTTAAAGAACATGCGTGTGGCTAATTGATAGACAACAGGAAGCTTTATGCCAGATGTCACCTTATTTTGACAGTGTAAGGAGGAATTATGAAACGAAAAAGACAAAACACATTATTTCATTGTACAAATATACATATATTTACAACTACTCTCACTTATAAGTGAAAACACAGATCACTTCTTGAACAATAAAATCAAAATTGTTCTAAATTCTAAAACTAATCAGGCCACATCAACATAAACTTAGGGTTTCAGGACCTCTTTTGAAGAGAATGTTTTGTGGAAACCTAAAAAATTAATGTTATTGGCCTATGTTCAATACATTTAAACGTCACTAAAATATGCCTTACTAACCATCTAATAGTATTACATATTGTCAATGGCTAAATGTTGAACATTTGACACCCGGTGAAATATTCTGTGAAATTTATGCCATGCTTTGTCACAGGACATCTTTAGTGCACTAGATTGCCTTTGTAAATGCAGCTGACATATTTAGTACTCTTATTTATGTGAGAATGAGTCAAATGTTAAATCTGGGACAAATCACAATCTTCCAGCCAAGTTTAAAACAAGGCACAGGACGTGAACGAGATCACACCATCAAATAGGCATATCATGTACAGGAAATCCGATGAGCAGTTTTCCTGAAATGGCAATGACAAGATTTTTCGAAAAACCTTAAAAATGGCCACCAGAAAACAAGATGGCCGCCCAAAAGTTAATCAGCTCTAGTACTCGATATCCTCTATCATCTGTGCGAATTTGAAGGAAATCCGATGAGTGGTTTTCCTAAATTGGCGATGACAAGATTTTTTCGAAAAAACTTCAAATGGCCACCAGAAAACAAGATGGCTGCCACAAAGTTAATCAGCTCTAGTACTTGATATCCTCTATCATTTGTGTAAATTTGAAGGAAATCCGATGAGCGGTTTTCCTGAAATGGCGATGACAAGATTTTTCGAAAAACCTTCAAAATGGCCACCAGAAAACAAGATGGCCACCCAAAAGTTAATCAGCTCTAGTACTTGATATCCTCTATCATGTGTGTAAATTTGAAGGAAATCCGATGAGCGGATTTTCTGAAATGGCGATGACAAGATTTTTCGAAAAATCTTCAATCTTCTGGCTGCCAGAAAAATCTTCTGGCTGCCAGAAAACAAGATGGCCACCCAAAAGTTAATCAGCTCTAGTACTTGATATCCTCTATCATTTGTGGTAATTTGAAGGAAATCCAATGAGCGGTTTTCCTGAAATGGCGATGACAAGATTTTTCGAAAAACCTTCAAAATGGCCGCCAGAAAACAAGATGGCCACCCAAAAGTTAATCAGTTCTAGTACTTCATATGCTCTATCATCTCTGCGAATTTGGAGAAAATCTGATGAGCAGTTTTCCTTAAACGGCGATGACAAAAAGCGGGACGATCACGCCCACGACCAGTATGACGACTATATCCCACCGATGGTGTGATAAAAATACAAGTCGCAATATTTAGGTAATCAAAGAGACCCAAGAGACATCTGTGGTAATCAGCTCATCATGTAATGTAAAATTAACAGAAAAACATATACTGTGAAACCTGTAAAGAGAAGCACCTCTAAAAGTGGAACATCTCTGTTAGTGGAACATTTTTCCAAGACCAACTGACTTAATGTTAAATGAACCTCCAAAAGTGAAACACTTTTTAGAGGTACCAAAGGTGTTCCGCTAAGACAGGTTTAACCGTACTTATACTGGCTGGGTTGGTCTCCCACAGGTTCCCTGTACATGTATTAAGCAGTACATGTTCTTGACTACCCATTCTATCATTGCCACATTATTTCTATGGATTTGTTCTCTTGGATGCCAAGCCTGTATATCAAACTTGTTCATTTTATATCCTTAGACAGCTATATCTTCGAATAATTGCTGTGCCTTTAAATAGACACAATTATATATGCATCTTCGATACATTCTGCTGCCTGAGTGGACGCAATACACCCTCCTAGACACCAAAGTATACCTTAGATAGGTGAATTGGTGTACACTATAAACATGTACACTTAAATATATCTTAGATACATTCTGCTGCCTATGAGTGGACGCAGTACACCCTCCTAGACACTCAGCTATATCTTTTTTAGGTATATACTTTGCTGCCTTAAGATGGACACCAGGCCCAATCTTTACCATCCAACACAGAATATTACATTATAACTCCCATTTATCGTCACATTCAGAGTCCAGCCTGAGAGATGAATTGAGGAAGTCGTTGTCATTTCGTTTTTTGTTTTTTCCTCGCACGTCCTTGAGGTTCGTCTTCAGAACTTTCTGAAGTTGAAATTGTCACCTCTTTGGATGTAGACTGGGCAAAACTGCTAACGTTTTTAGTCTTTTCTAAGCCACGGACTGAAACAACAAATATTTTTTTCATAAGATAAACATAATAGATGGTAATGCTACACTTTGTCAGATTCTAATTTTTTAAATTTCATTTTAGACTGAAGTATGGATTCGCAGTGAATTCATAATCATATAACATATCTTAGATAGGTTGTGAACATTTCTGTTTTCAACTGTTTAATTTATTGTTAATTATTGACATGGTCGTCGGTCTAAGCAATTTGGCCCAGCCGGAGGAAGCCTGACCTGAGGCCACCAGACACACCCTTACCAATAACCTTATCAGGTCAAATATGTGAAATTATATTACTGTATGACATGAGAAAGCTCACAACTGCGTCTAATTATTGACAATGTACAATTACAGCCCATTCTGACTTTTGTCCCGAACCAATTTGGCTCAGCATGACGAAGCCTGACTTGAGGGCCGCACAACCCACCCATACAACTGACCAACCTGAGCCATCAGTTGATTTATATATCAATTTATCCCATACTTAGACGTGTTACAGGTACATAAAGCCGGTTTGTAAAAACTTATATTTTCATCAGCGGGCAGATATAGCTTTACGTCCCGCTCCGAGCGGGCAGATATAGTATATCTGCCCGCTACGTCATAATGGAGAATACACAGACAATCGGGATCTGTTTGATGGTTTAAAAAGGGAAGGAGCATCCGCTTAATCGATCAAAAAATCGAGAAAATAAATGTGGGAATATTTGAGAGAACAGTAGAATCCGCCCACGGCCAAGAAAACAAAACTGGACATGAATATTCTAAAATATTTCCACGATTGAACAATGTGAACCAGATGACCAAGATTGGTATGGGATAAACATATTATCCTATAGTCGGTTCAGGATATTGGGATTATCCCTTGGCCAATATAATATATTTTCCCTCGGGACCTATTATATTGGCCTCGGGATAATCCCAATATCCTGAACCTCATATAGGATAATCTCTATATACACCTCTTACCTTGATTTTCTAAAATTGAATTTTGCCTTCTAAGATCATCAATATCTTGCTGATGTGTTGTATTTTTTCGGGTCATAAACTGGATGTAGTCGGATGCCTGCTTCAGGATTTGAGCTCTTGAGGCCTGCAATTAAACAACATTCCAATATGTATCGCTGTGAAAAAAGAGGTATTAACAGTATTACCACACATTGTAATAATATGTATTAATAGGCATCAACATGTACAATATGTACTGTAGTATTATCATTATACACTATGTATCATTGTGGATAATGTAATAAGGTGTACAATATGTATATTGATTGTATTGAATATAATAGGGATCAACATGTGTGAGATGTACTATTAAATGTGCATTTTTGAATATTAGCAGCATGTACAGTATGTATAAACATATAAAATATGTAGCATTAACGTGTACAATATGTATTAACATGTACAATTCATATCAATATGCACTACAGTCAGTAAGAGTGAAGATTATGTTGAATGACAGCCTTTCAATTTTTGAACGGTGTACTCAATATATTATTCTAAGCAATCTAAGGTCAAATATATGGGAGTGGAAACCTTTAGTTAAAAGGATTAGTGAACAATAGTACATTGTATAATCTAGTTTAACCAGCCAAGTCTAGTACACGGACAGAAATGTTTAGAAAATATATACTTTGATAAAAATATGATATACTTGACAAGATAGTACTGTACATAGAAGATATCCTACGATTTATTAGATATGTTTTAGCTATAAATGGATATGATAGCTGCACAAGTCAGATTGCAGATAGCGATATCCATGAGTGAACAAAATCATATCATGAGTAAATCATAGGATATCCTTTTTATTCCATAGTTAATGGGTGCTTGTTAAATATTTCCAATGTCTGTTTGGCAATTATAGTAAAATTCACCTCATTTTGAATCAAGTAACAAAAATATGTTAAACATCAGGCGCCATCTCATGGTTTAATTTTAGTATTAAAATACTGGTTTTATTCAACATGATATCTTTTGGCTATCAATTTCATAGTAACTATAGAATAACATTGAATTGTGCTTATTACAATTATAATTCATCAGTTTCAGAAAAACCTGAGTTGAGCTGTTGTCATCTACCATTATGTTTAAAGAGACTTAATTTTATTTAATGAAACCATTTTTATACTAACTTATTTTATACTCTGAATTAAATTATTTCTTTAGTTGATATTTTCACTGTTAAGCTGTAAAATGGCAGCACTGTTAGTGATAATTTGTAAACTCCAAGTCCAATCATAAAAAAATCAGTTTATTTATTTCCATCCAAAATTGATCAATAACATATGAACTAAATGATAATTTCTGTACCTCATAATCCATAAATTCACATCTTGCCATGCTTCAACCAGCAAAATAGAAATCTATACACAATTACAGTTTAAAAAGCCTAAATTCCATCACGTCCTGTAGCTGGTTGACAAACCTTCAGATGAATGAGCATAAGTTATTGAATGCTTGTTGGTTATATAAGGTATACAATATACAGCATCCCCTTGAGGGAGTTGAAACGGTCAGTCTCTGACCTTACTTGCCCGAGTGTTACATAATTTTACCCAAGACAATAAATAATAAATAACAATTAAATATGAAGGTAAATCCAAATTTTACATAGCATTTTTAGTTATTATGTCCATAATATTACAGCCTTTATATTTAATTAAAAAATTGAAGTAATACTTTAGTAAACTCTTGATATAGAAAATAAAAATAATTCATATGTGAAGTATACTTCATTTAATCAATCTATTGCCAATATAGTGATATCAGTTCTTGTAATATTGCCAAAGATATCTGACCTTAGACTGAGTAGCATAGAGAGTTCATAACCCCAAAAGTTGAAATTAATGTGGAAAACCTGCGATATGGTAAATTAAATATGACTTCCAACAGTTTGCACAGAGATTCATAATCTACAAATATGTCAAATAAACGAATACAAATTCAACTGAGAGACTAAAACTAAAAGACAAAATCAATAGAATTGCACCTTAGATTCTGTGTATGTAGTAAAAATATATATTAAGTACATATTAATACTGTAATGCACATGTATTAAGTATATTCATTCAGATAAGTACAAGACAACCAAGAATCAGGTCTAGATTTTCATACAAAATGGCCTCGTTTACAGACATGCATAATTGCATATAGTAACCTCATTCATTAACCACCAACAATTCATCTGCATCCTCATACTTCCAATAAAAAAATATATATACTGCACAATTACCATATGCACACACCTTTAATTAAATTATTGATCTTGAATGAAACATGAATTTGTCTAATTAAAGTATGGTTACATATGGTATCTGATAGTACAATCACTGGAACAGGTGAAAATGATATTTAGTTAGACCTTACATTTAAAGATGGCTGGGAATACTTAGGATATATTTGACCTTCATTTTAGTGGTATCACAAGAATGATGCACAAATGAAAAAACAATGGGTACGACCACAGACTTACAGAAATTCATGTCTACAGAGTGTCAGTATTTCATGTGAATAATATGTAGATGCATGATGCTGATCAAGATACAGTACGTGGGGTGATCCAAAAGTCTTGGACCCCCGCCCCTCGTACAAGGGCAAAATTAAGAGATTTACCTTTTCTCCTTGCAATGATGGCACAGAATCACGAAGACTGGAAAAGCTCTCTTTAATATGGTCTCTTCTTTTTCTTTCTAAAGCATTATGATGGGCCCTCTTTTCTTCCTGTAACAAAACATGTTTAAATCAATGATAACTTTGATCCTGCGTTTTATGACAAAAAGAAACAAGGCATTAACATGCAATTCATGTTACTGGTGTTGACATCAAAGGTATTGCCCCGAACCGTCCGTCTTCTCGCTACAAGCAGATTGCCCCGAACCGGTCCGTCTTCTCGCTGCAAGCAGGATGAAATTCTTTGTCACAAAGTTTGGCATTTTTTATAAAATCAAACGCGCGTCATTCAAACTCACAGGATGCAAATAGCATGTCATTTACATCATACCTTGAATGCGCATTTAGAGAGTTTTGGTCTGTTTAAAAATCTGTAAAAAATTGGGGTACTTAAAAGCATCGGGAGGCATCATATATTTCAAATTAGACACGAGGAAGTCAATATTGAGCAAGTTATGGCTGTTTTAAATTCAAATAAAACCGTTAACCCGTACCGGTCCAGCTTTTGACCCGTACCGGTCAATTTTCGTTAGCTGCGTATACCAAGGGTGATAATCCTGGATGTCTAAGGGTCTCATCTCGTCAAACAACAAAATGTGAAATAATGAAATAATAAGGGCAGAAAAATTAATGTCAGTTTATTGGCACAAAGTTTTAATATCATGATTTTTTATCAACACAAATACCATAATTTCTTACCCTATCATATTACCCATAAAAACAGGGTTTGTAAATTAAATTAATTAAAGAATCTATTGATATGCAAAGAAACATTGATCCCACAGCTGTAAGGTTTGGATATTAGTTCCAGGTAATTTCAGAACCAGGGTAGTAGCCTAACGCAATGATTCGTTTTATTGGTTTGTACAATTTAGAACCTTGCCCACCCCACTTTGGATCTATGTCTTTCATAAGAAGCTACTGAATATGTCGTCAAATGTCAGACTTTTGGTCATGAAAATACAGCAATCTAGGGTGTGAAGAGTACTGTAGCAAATGCCTTAGCCTCATCTATTTATGCATTCAGTTATATATTCACATGTGCTTCTATTAGCCAATCACGTGTGTTTATTTTGATCTGCCATATTGATTTTTGCACCCATAAAATGTCACTTATAACCCTGGGTTTGCCAATGATAAACCTTTTTAATAATAAATATAAAAAAAAATTATTCACTTTATCAGTATTTATATGTAATTTTCTTTACCTGGGTCATAAACTGGGTATTAGCACTACTGTAAAGTCCCGATCCCAGGTCATCTTCCTGAAAAAAAAAAAAATCATGAAAAATGACACATGTTGTCGAAAACTTTGATTTACTCGGCCATCCTGCAAGCTAAAACGATAATTTTAAAATGGGATTAAAGGAGCATAACTTACGTCACTCTCGATGTCAACATCTCGATCATCATCGCTCATTTTGGCAGTGTATTTTATCCTCAAATTACATTACTAAAAGTAAAATGTGTAAGAATGTAGGAACCAAACAACGCCACGCGGTCACTGAACACGTGTGCAGTGGGCGTAAATTACTCCGCAGAATACCTTTAACTTTTACTCCATTATCCAAAAAATCGACTACACACCATTTTAAGTATATGAGGAAAACACATTGAAGTATTTCAATTTAAATAGGGGAATAAAAAATATGATTAAAAGATACTAATTAAATAATATAGCACTATATCTTTGCAGAAAGGTCAATATGACCTATAAACTTTGGCCCAGAAAATCTCCATCTTAGCACAACAAGATATCACATTATTATGTCAATTTTTATCTATTATTGTTTCATTTTAAATTTAACAGGCCAAATCAAGCATTTATCTTTCTTAGTGTTGCTTTACAGAATTTTATTTTAGTTTATGCAAAACAAACCACGGTGCTAGTGTATTGATTTTATTCAGTTGACTTCATTTTAATTTCAAATTGCAAAACTGCTATGACATATTATCATGTTACAGGAACAAGAAGCTCAAGGAAGCTGATAAAGGTAGGTACATTTATTTTCTGAACTTGATCTAGCTCTGGAGTCGTTACTAATTGTTCGAGCCTTACCAAAAGCCAGGTAAACATTTTTCAGATATAAGATATCAACTAAGACAAGTATTAGAGAGAAGAAAGGTGAATTGACTTAAATATTCAATATTGTAGTTTTACATGATTTCTTTTTCAGAATTTTATTTCAGACTGAGATTCAGAATTGTAAATAGACTATTTGAAAGTTTGTTAATTTGATTTGAAATGTGACCTCATACTACCCTTTGCATTCGTTTGACTTCACTTCTTAAAAGAGAGCTTCGTCTTCACTCTTTCAAACTAAAATAAACCTGTGAACTCACCGCGCCAATCAGTGTTCGTCGGCCAAATTTGACCGACATTGTATATATGGTCATTCCTTCTGACGTCATCGTTGAGCCCGGAATTGACCAATGACATGCGCATATTAATTAGAACGCATTTGGCGTATGTTTCTTCAAGCTAGCTGATTAGTGGAAGAAAGGTCAGCGCATTGGTCAGAAGTGATCTATTACCCAAACTGTCACCAGTACCCGTCGTGGGGGCGAGGCTACTAAACTGTAATATGGTCTCTACTAGGCAGAGTGTAGTTTGAGTGTATTTGAGTGTATTTGCAACCATCTGGTACGCCTGTGCGTACAGGATGCTACATACGCCCATGGAAGTGTCAATTGTTCTATACCATATTCACTCTTGTTTATTTTCTTCAGTCTTCGAGCCTTACCAAAAGCCAGGTAAACATTTTTCAGATATAAGATATCAACTAAGACAAGTATTAGAGAGAAGAAAGGTGAATTGACTTAAATATTCAATATTCAACATTTTGTTTACGTCTGTATGTCAAGTAAAACTGATCTTTGATCTTGTTTAATGGGTTACAGGCCCATCCAAAGTTGTAAGGTATTGCCTGCATTATGTGAGAATTTTTCTGTAGTCTGGCGATTAGTCTCTTTAACTAGGTGTAGAGAGACATGTACATATTTAGATTTTTTTTAAGAAATTAAGAAATCATGCCATTGGAAAGTCCTAGAACGGTCCATCTTGCATTTATTAGTTTAGGTGGACAACTTAGTCTCACTTAGAGTCCTTCAGTTAAAATTCTAATATTCCAACTCATCATAACAAATGGAAGATTTCAAAACATAAAAAAAGTTATAATTGTAATGGTAATAAAGTGATGTCAGACGCTCTACCCCTGAGCCATAAAGGCTAGCCACTACAGCTGAGACTGTAGAAGCGACTTGCTATCGAAGGTCATTACACCATCCCCCCTAGAAGACAACGTCCTGTCGTAACTGATTCACAAGGGCAATCCCACTTCTGATACCAATGTAGATGCTCTACCCCTGAGCCATAAAGGCTAGCCACTACAGCTGAGACTGTAGTAGCGACTTGCTATCGAAGGTCATTACACCATCCCCCCCCTAAAAGACGACGTCTTGTCGTAACTGATTCACAAGGGCAATCCCACTTCTGATACCAATGTAACGACCCTTGGGCACGTCCGTTGAGGAGCTGTAGTGTACCGAGCCAGATACTAGACTCGAAAGGGAGTGTGCTAAATTCAATGTCCAGTGCGGGAATCGAACCCAGGAACTTCCGCTCTCAGAGTCAGACGCTCTACCCCTAAGCCATAAAGGCTAGCCACTACAGCTGAGAATGTAGTAGCGACTTGCTATCAAAGGTCATTACAGTATGTTATAATATGTGGGCATGTACCTTCTGACCTGTGATCAAATATCTTCTTATGCATCAGCATGTTTATATGCAATTCAATGCAACAGTTGAATAAGTTCAATTAAGTGGTTTAATTATGTAGTAACTTTTGTAAAATAACCAACACTCTCTCAAAGACATGCTGAGTTTAATTAATATATATGTTTTATTGAAAATTTATAATAACTCAGTGTAAATGCCTGTAAAATATTTTAACTTGCTAATGAAAGAAATAATTTTTTAAATCATTTACTGAACATTTTGGGTCATTTAGATTGAAATGCCTCGGTTTGTCAGGACAAAGATCAGAAGAATGAGACCAACAGGGTTGTGCACCCTATTTAAAAATCACATCCCACCCTTTTGAAAAAAAAACTATTTGCACCCTGTAAAATGATGACATCTTCAGATGTTTTGACTAGTAAAGTTAGAATATTTTGAGAAAAAACTTGAAGACTCCTTAAGACAATCCATATTTTATCAAAGCAGGTTTGTATCATTGGTCAGGTATGTCTCTTACAATTTGAATTTGCCATAGTTACATTATCCTCAAATTTAAGTAACATCCAGAAAAAAATGAAACATATGTACAATGTAACATACCTTCTTGTCTATAAATACCAATGAATGGCATCAAGATCTTATACCATAAAAACAAAGCCCACTTTGAATTAGGTAATGATTGTATTGATAACAAATAATGGCACCACTCTATAAAACACAGATACCTTTTCCCATTGGATTTCATTTCCAGGTATCCTCATAAACTACACCTGGATCTCTGCTAATATACTTTAACATGAAACCTCATCATGATATGGTGCCAATGCCATTTCCCTTTATTAAAATGCTACTCCTTTACCTTTAAAATCCTTTTGCACACACACTGATAAAAACCAACATGATCCATCATCAGTAGTCAAATTCTGAAGAAAGTAAAACTTCTATAAGTTTATCATGTTTCTTCAGGAGGAATGATTTTCAATGGTTTTTAAATAAGGGTAATTGATTTTATTTTTGGTGCTGTATCTATCTCTCTTGAAGAATGTATAACACCTGGTAGAGAAATCTTGATTTACATTGATAGAAATTCTAAATTCAGTAAAAGTGATATTTCAAATATTGTTTAAATTTAATGATAGAATTATGTTTTTAAAAAGTGTTTATCAACTTTGAAAATGTCACTTCTAGGTGAAGGGGATTCCCCATGTGACTCCATGTTATAAAATCACAAAAAATGAAATATATTTTCTTATATTGGACGGATAATATTTTCTTTTACTGGACACATTTTAATTTGTATAACTATCAAATACTACTGTACATAAGTATAATATGAAAATTGAACCTCTAAAACTGATGAATATTCAAATTTAAGGGAATTTTCTAATACCCAGGTATATGTTATCTGCCTGGAATTAGCCACCTGGTGGTGAAACTGGTAACTAATTCTAAGGTATATTCATTTCAGATAATTTTGGTTAATGAGAGTATGATTTTTTGCCAGTTCAATGCACTCCTTGATAGATCTCTATATTCACTCTATATATTATAGAAGACTTAACCGCCATGACCATCCTGCAGTTATAATTAAATGAACTATTGAATTTATGATCCAGACTTACTTTTTTGTCCCATGTGAGATTCTTATCATTCGAAGCAGGTGTTTTACCCTTGAATGAAGTATCACTGCTTCATATATCAAAACGAAAAATACTCTTAATATTGAAACAAGCAAGGAACAAAGCGTAGAGACATGAAATATAAATGCAGAATCTGGAACTGTGAAGTACTAGGGTGTTACATTCAAATTAATTAAAAGAGCATGGAATAAACATTTGAAATATGTTGTGTTTTAAGAATAGGCATTCATATTGATCATTCAGAACAGGCAAATTAAATTAATAAAAAAATAATTAGTGAATATTAATGTATGGTAGGTACGTATGTTGTTACTGTATGTCCTATACACAGCATACATTTTGGAAAATGTGCATAATAGTTTTGTGGATATAACAAGCTTTTTATTAAGAAGTAAATGAGCAAGTAAGTTTTATTGATCCATCAATAACTAAGCTAATAATAATTATTATTTAAATTATGTTTTCTAGGTTCGTCAGCAGATAGATAAATTAGGATGACGCTGATAGGCTGATGTCTACACGATCAGAAGGAAAAATTTTACTTCGCATATCGTCACAAGATTACAGAACAGAGTGATTAGTGTCTTTAGATACAAATTAACTCTTAAAACCTTCACGAAAGCAAAGATAAGAGAAGAAATTGATGTGTAATCTCAGGTTGAAGACTGCTTTATCGGAGAGAGAATAATTGCATCAAGACAGATTTAAGTTTGTCACAGAAAGGCCTGAGATGTGAACTGTTAGCAGTAAATGGACTTAAACATGTAAGTATCATATTTTAGTTAATTTCTGTGCTTAATTAACTATTTCAGAACAGCTTCTTCCAACTATAGAATTATTTTGTATAAAGAGGTATGGGATTTGTTTTGTTAAGAAAAAACTGTTTTACTGTCAAAAGTGCTCATCTACAGATGTGATTGACTTACAGATGTTTTTAGTTTGCAGATGTTTTAAGCTTATACTGTATACTTACTTTCAAATGCTCGTTTATGTTGGATATTAATTGGAGTTAAAAAGAGAGAAACGTTGTGTATAAACTTGTTGCATCGTATTTACAACATGTTTTGATAAAGTTTTATTATTACTTTTATTTTAACAAGTGGAAGAAATCCCACGGTTTTGTTG